CCATCTTAAACTCTTGGCCTGCGAGTCTTGTAATGTGAAAACTTTTCATAAAGCGGGAATGGGACATCTGGTGGAAATGTAAAGTTTGTTTTGATGTGTCTTCATCACCGGCAGTGTGATTGGAAGGAATTCAAAATAACAGAGGGGTGGGACGACCAGAGGCGTTTCCAGTCTCAGGAAACTTAGCTGGGTAGATGATGTTATGACAGGCGTACCACACAACAGAGGGGTGGGTCGACCAAAAGACATGCAAATTCTCAGAAAGCCTAACTTTACTCGAACAAATATCTGAAAATTTAATGAATAACCGTGTAAAGAAAATGAAGACAATTTGTGTAATTTGGTACTCGAGTAAGGAAAACGACATTTTGTGTTGTTGTTTTTTTTTTCGTACAGACGTGTAAGGAAAATGGCTACAGTTTTTGTATTCATGTACACATGTGTAGTAAAAATGACGACAGTTTGTGTAATTTAGTACACACGTGTAGGGAAAACGACGTTTTTTGTATATTTGTACACACGTGTAAGAAACATGGCATTTTGTGTATATTTGTACACACGTGTCTCTAAGTGCCTCTTAACATTCGTCAATGGACTTTGGACTTATTCAGATACTCAAGTTGTGTGGGTGACTAGGATGGTGTGTGTGGGGGGGGGGGGTGAGGTAACCGTTTTTTATGGGTTAAGACTTAACCTGCTTATCTGTAGCGATTAAGTTACTTCAATGTCAAATAACCGGAGAAAAGATAACTTCAAACCGTTTTCTTGTCTGTTGTAGCGGGTAGGTCACACACAGAGGGCTAATTGATGTTTAGGGCCAGTTGATAACTGACTTGAAACTAACCAACTGGTTATGACTGGTTGGTCTTAACTGGTTGGTCCAATAATCTGAATATGGCAGAGGGGTGGTGTAGGTCTGAGCTCTCTGCTGTCTATTTAATTTATTTAAGACCCCACAATTAACTACTCTCTCTCTCTCTTTAGATCGCTGTACTTGCTTATATACACAACAGCACTAGCTAGTATATAGCTTAGAATTTAGCAATAAGAAGGGCCCCGTTAGAATATAGCCACAGTAAGGACCCCCCTTATAATTTAGCCAGTAAGGATCCCGTAACAGTTAAGCCCTAGTAATGACCCCTTAGATTTTAGCCACACGGACCGGACCCCCTTAGAATTTCGCCATAGTAAGGACCTACTTAATTTAGCCATAGTAAGAACCCCCCCCCCCCCCCCCCCCTAGAATTCAGCCACACTACGGACCCCTTAAAGTTTAGCCATAGCTATTTCCATTTAATGAAACATCCGATGAAACACACTGGGAATTTTGGAGTAGAGACCCACAATAGAAGTGTTAATCATTGTAACTCTCGACAGTCTATTACTAATGGCGTTAGTCAACGGCCTCTCGAGTGTTTTGTCCGAGAGTTTGAATGAGAGGGGGTGGGGGAGAGGAGGGGCAGTGTCCTCGACTGAACTACAACACAGAAATGGCACGTTCTCTGGTCGTATTACAAATGAGGCATCACGTGATCAACGTGATTGGTCATTCTTGCAGCTGGTCAAGTCTTGGTCAGTTGTAGATGACCTCGTATTTGTCAGTCTTGTATTTGACCTGATTTTGGTCAGTCTTATATTTGACCTGATTTTGGTCAGTCTTATATTTGACCTGATTTTGGTCAGTCTTATATTTGACCTGGTATTGGTCAGTCTTGTAGCTGACGTGGTATTGGTCAGTCTTGTAGCTGACGTGGTATTGGTCAGTCTTGTAGCTGACGTGGTATTGGTCAGTCTTGTATTTGACCTGGTATTGGTCAGTCTTGTAGCTGACGTGGTATTGGTCAGTCTTGTAGATGACCTGGTATTGGTCAGTCTTGTAGATGACCTGGTATTGGTCAGTTGTCATATTTGACCTGGTATTGGTCAGTCTTGTAGCTGACGTGGTATTGTTCAGTCTTGTAGCTGACGTGGTATTGGTCAGTCTTGTAGATGACGTGGTATTGGTCAGTCTTGTAGATGACCTGGTATTGGTCAGTTGTCATATTTGACCTGGTATTGGTCAGTCTTGTAGCTAGCCTGGTATTGGTCAGTTTTGTACTGTCTACACTACCTTCAGCCAGTGTTCGAACCCACTTAGCTCTCTGCTAAGACCTTCTCTACATCCTACACACAGAGGAACGCTGTTTATTTGTATGGCGCGGGGTTAGTTTACAATGTAGGCTTCCATAGATATATATAGAGCTCTTTATATTCCTTTGACGACTCGGCCCATTTTTTAAATTGGAACCCGACTGTTTCATTCATTCTCTGGGGGTCTACTTCAGCATGTATTGTAGGGTAACATGCAGCGTATGTGAATGGACAAGGGCTTTTGTTAAGTCCTGCACATACAGCGTATGTCAATGGACAGGGACAATTCGTTAAGGCCTGCACATACAGCGTATGTCAATGGACAGGATCCTTTAGTTAAGTCCTGCACATACAGTGTATGTCAATGGACAGGATCCTTTAGTTGAGGCCTGCACATACAGCGTATGTCAATGGACAGGATCCTTTAGTTGAGGCCTGCACATACAGCGTATGTCAATGGACAGGATCCTTTAGTTGAGGCCTGTACATACAGCGTATGTCAATGGACAGGATCCTTTAGTTGAGGCCTGCACATACAGCGTATGTCAATGGACAGGATCCTTTAGTTAAGGCCTGCACATATAGCGTATGTCAATGGACAGGATCCTTTAGTTGAGGCCTGCACATACAGCGTATGTCAATGGACAGGAACCTTTAGTTAAGTCCTGCACATACAGCGTATGTCAATGGACAGGAACCTTTAGTTAAGTCCTGCACATACAGCGTATGTCAATGGACAGGAACCTTTAGTTAAGTCCTGCACATACAGCGTATGTCAATGGACAGGAACCTTTAGTTAAGTCCTGCACATACAGCGTATGTCAATGGACAGGAACCTTTAGTTAAGTCCTGCACATACAGCGTATGTCAATGGACAGGAACCTTTAGTTAAGTCCTGCACATACAGCGTATGTCAATGGACAGGAACCTTTAGTTAAGTCCTGCACATACAGCGTATGTCAATGGACAGGAACCTTTAGTTAAGTCCTGCACATACAGCGTATGTCAATGGACAGGAACCTTTAGTTAAGTCCTGCACATACAGCGTATGTCAATGGACAGGAACCTTTAGTTAAGTCCTGCACATACAGCGTATGTCAATGGACAGGATCCTTTAGTTAAGGCCTGCGTCGCTCCAACGGTTTGCTCAATGTCTTGCAGGGACACGCCGTGAATCGGGTCACGGAGGGCTGGGTTTCTAGCGCTTGAGAAAATGGACGTTGGCCCAAGGTGAAGGTCAACTGACTTAGTGTCGTCGTTTCAACCCCATCAGTGTTACCCTCGTTCATAAAAGTAAAAAAAAAAGTTGCCCATTTTGTATTTGAGTTCATATTTATTGAGCACGGCATGTGATTGGATGGTGTGGTCAGCACTATACTAAGCCGCCTTTACTTTCTCTAATCATAGCTGGGTAAAGTCAGATCGAGATCCGAACTCGAGACATTCGGCTTAACAGTCGAGGGCTCTACCACACTATCACGCCATCCTACCATATACATAAAGTTTGTCTTAATTTTTTAAGGCCATCTGAGTGTCCACCACAGTTTACAAAGCTGGTCGTTATTTCAAGGCCATCCCCGTATAAGCTCACACAAGTGTCCACTCCCGTACACCATGTAAAGCCTGGCACTCGGCTGTTGATTTTACGCTCGGCTGAGTCTCGGCGACTGGCGGGCCTGAGACTAGCGTAGGTGTTCGCCAGCCAGCCCGAGGTTGATCGTAACTAGGCCAGAATCGTGACTGCACGGGTACCACGTGGTGTCAATAGAATGACGTAGATCACCCGGCGAGGGAATCAATTAGACTGCAAGGACTTCCAGAACAGGAAAAAAAAAAAACGCACCGTGACAGCCATATCGGAATGTCAAGCGGTGTGACTGCACAGAATATCTGCCGCACGGAGAGGGCGGGGATCTACAGGTGCAGATACATTTTTAAAGAAAACACATTAAATATTAAACGTTGGTCTATGGGTAAAGGGAAGAGGGGGGGGGGGGGGTGTACAATGCCAAGTTTGCCGTGTCTTACAACTAAGGAAAACCCCATGAGGGCGAATAGTCGTTGATGGGCGCGGTTAAAATTGTTGGCGCCATTCAAAGTTTAATACAAAACAAGGTGTGTGTGTGTTTGTGATGGGAAATGAGAAAAGATCAACATGTTGGTAGTCGCAGGGTTTCTTTCTGATATTTCTCTCTGGTGTTGGGGGGGGGGGGGGGAGGGAGAGATTTGAAACTTATGGTGGTCACTTAAAATTTTCTCGGGGGTCGACACTTTTTAAATTAGATCTATATAGTTTCTATACAAACATTTTTTTTTTCATTTCGTGCGGGGTAAGGGGGAGAAAAGGGGGATTGTGCCCCCCCCCCCCCCCCCGGAGAGATGCGATTAAGAACCTCTGGATAGTCGAGGATGACTGCGAGCTTGACTTGAATAAGACTTAAATTTTAACGTGACCATTTATAGATTTCATCGTTTACAAAAATAGAATCAAAATATATTGGAAAGCTGTTTCAATCGTGTGTTGGGGGGGGGGGGTAGAAATTGCAAATGGCATATATTGTAGGTGTTATATTATAGTTCTTAAAAATACTGTGAAAAACTAGTTATTTTTTTGTGAAATATGGGCTGTGGGGGAGTGGAATAGATGGCGTTTCAGAGGGTGGTTCAAGAATCGGCAAAAATGTAACGATGTAATTATAGAGCTAATTACTTTTATAGGTGTATAGATAATTTATATTAAAGGTTTGTTTTAAATATTGTATGCCCTTATATCTATTTTGTTTTAAAGTGTTTGACAAGATCTGCGTGTTACAATTGATGTATGTAAAATGTCGCCATTGTAACTTTGATGTTGACTTCTACTCTGACAGGTGCGGCAGTCCCCCAGTCCACCCCCAGGCTCACTGCCACACGTCTATCACGGCAACAGCTCATACGCCGCTGTGGAAGGGGAGGGGGCCTTTATTCCTGAGCCAAGTCATGCAGATACTCACACGGTAAGTACAGGTGGTTGGGGCAGGATGGTGGTTGGGGCTTGAGTGGTTGGGGCAGGATGGTGGTTGGGGCAGGATGGTGGTTGGGGCAGGATGGTGGTTGGGGCAGGATGGTGGTTGGGGCAGGATGGTGGTTGGGGCAGGATGGTGGTTGGGGCAAGTTGGTGGTTGGGGGAGGATGGTGGTTGGGGCAGGATGGTGGTTGGGGCTCGGGTGGTTGGGGCAAGATGGTGGTTGGGGCAGGACGATGGTTGGGGCAGGTTGGTGGTTGGGGCAGGATGGTGGTTGGGGCAGGATGGTGATTGGGGCAGGATGGTGGTTGGGGCGAGATGGTGGTTGGGGCAGGATGGTGGTTGGGGCAGGATGGTGATTGGGGCAGGATGGTGATTGGGGCAGGATGGTGGTTGGGGGAGGATGGTGGTTGGGGCAGGATGGTGGTTGGGGCAGGATGGTGGTTGGGGCAGGATGGTGGTTGGGGCTCGGGTGGTTGGGGCAGGTTGGTGGTTGGGGCAGGATGATGGTTGGGGCACGGGTGGTTGGGCAGGTTGATGGACAAGTGGTTGAGGTAGTATGGTTGTTGAGACAGTAAGGTACTGGTCTGTGGGGGGGGGGGGGAGTAGTGTCAGATGGTGACTATATGGTTGTGGCAAGATGGTACTTGACGGCAGGCCATTGGTCCAATATGGCAGGCCGTTGAAAAGAAAGTCTTTAAAGTTTTTGTTTAACTCGTCCCATGCAGATGTTGTATCAGACTGTGTCCAACCATTTCCACGCTCCAACCCATTACACCTACCTGTTTATTTAACACACAAAAATTTGACTTTTTTTTTTTTAATGTTTTTCAATATAATGTAATGACCGTCATTAACTTGCCGAACTACCAGATCAGTTTTAACGAACGGTGAAAGCTAATTGGATCTCGTATCTCGCAGCCACTTCTTGCGTTTCACCGAACTAGGTCAGACCCAATTCTTCCTGACCTCGTTTCATCCCCGGCTCCCGCCTGCAGCAGCCAGCAGACGTCTCAATCTGGTCGAGATACGGCACTCAAGTGGCGGGAACAATGGGAGATAATCACCGCTTGTCTGCCGAGGCGCGGGCAGTTGGACGCGAGGGCTGTTTGGATGTGTTGTCCTACCGTTACCTGCAGTTACCCAACTCTCTATCCACCAAGCCTGTGGCTATTTTTAAACAACGGGGGGTTATTTTTAGTGGGATAGGTTATTGATTTTTAAAACTATTTATTACAGTACTTTCCCGGTATTTCTAATAGCCATTAAGCTCAATGAGATTCGTCTGGTATTTCGGCCACATAAAATTTTACGCCCCGTTAATTTTGTTATGTCTTTACATTCTTGGCGGAGTACAGGGTGGGTCTACTTTTCCGGTACACGATAACAGACTGTAGTCAAGCATATATCACATAGCAATAATCTCTAACCCACCCATGACCCTAACCCTGTCTACCACTGGCCTGCTTTAGCGTGGCACACGACTGTCACCTGGCATAGCCAGACTCTAACCCACCCATGACCCTAACCCTGTCTACCACTGGCCTGCTTTAGCGTGGCACACGACTGTCACCTGGCATAGCCAGACTCTAACCCACCCATGACCCTAACCCTGTCTACCACTGGCCTGCTTTAGCGTGGCACACGACTGTCACCTGGCATAGCCAGACTCTAACCCACCCATGACCCTAACCCTGTCTACCACTGGCCTGCTTTAGCGTGGCACACGACTGTCACCTGGCATAGCCAGACTCTAAACCACCCATGACCCTAACCCTGTCTACCACTAACCTGCTGTAGCGTGGCACACGACTGTCATAGCCAGATTCTAACCTACCCATGACCCTAACCACCACTAACCTGCTGTAGCGTGGCACACGACTGTCACCTGGCATAGCCAGATTCTAACCTACCCATGACCCTAACCCTGTCCGACACTAGTCCGATGATTTCTGACGACGAGCTGTAGATGCCAGGTTGCATGTTACCAACTGTAGGGCTGTACCCCCCCCCCCCCCCCCACACACACTCAAAAGGCCAACAAAACCGATCCGTCTTAAAGTGACATCAAGCACCACGAACCGAAAACCGCCCCATGTTCTAAAATAACCTTAACCCATACTGAGATTAACATGTATTACACCGTTGTTTTTTTTTTTGTTGCTACTCACAATGTACCCATCTATCTACACACACACAAACACGCACGCACACACCGACATCATTTATAGGGGTCCTAATAAAAGCATAACACAAATAGAGGGGTCCTAATAAAAGCATAACACAAATAGAGGCGTCCTAATAAAAGAACAAGTAGAGTGGTCCTAAAGTTAGCATATCACACGTAGACGGGCCCTGATGAAGGTTAGCACCAGTAGGGGGGGTCCTAATGTAAATGTAGTAGAACTACAAGCGCCCGACCACAGTCCTACGTAAAGAGACCGACCTCCGACCACAGTCCTACGTAAAGGGACCGACCACAGTCCTACGTAAAGGGACCGACCTCCGACCACAGTCCTACGTAAAGGGACCGACCACAGTCCTACGTAAAGGGACCGACCACAGTCCTACGTAAAGGGACCGACCATAGTCCTACGTAAAGGGACCGACCACAGTCCTACGTAAAGGGACCGACCTCCGACCACAATCCTACGTAAAGGGACCGACCACAGTCCTACGTAAAGGGACCGACCACAGTCCTACGTAAAGGGACCGACCACAGTCCTACGTAAAGGGACCGACCTCCGACCACAGTCCTACGTAAAGGGACCGACCACAGTCCTACGTAAAGGGACCGACCACAGTCCTACGTAAAGGGACCGACCATAGTCCTACGTAAAGGGACCGACCACAGTCCTACGTAAAGGGACCGACCTCCGACCACAATCCTACGTAAAGGGACCGACCACAGTCCTACGTAAAGGGACCGACCACAGTCCTACGTAAAGGGACCGACCTCCGACCACAGTCCTACGTAAAGCGCCCGACCACAGTCCTACGTAAAGGGACCGACCACAGTCCTACGTAAAGGTGCCGACCTCCGACCACAGTCCTACGTAAAGAGACCGACCACAGTCCTACGTAAAGGGACCGACCACAGTCCTACGTAAAGGGACCGACCACAGTCCTACGTAAAGGAGCCGACCTCCGACCACAGTCCTACGTAAGGTACCGACCACAGTCCTACGTAAAGGGACCGACCTCCGACCACAGTCCTACGTAAGGTACCGACCACAGTCCTACGTAAAGGGACCGACCTCCGACCACAGTCCTACGTAAAGGGACCGACCACAGTCCTACGTAAAGGGACCGACCACAGTCCTACGTAAAGGGGCCGACCTCCGACCACAGTCCCACGTTAAAGGACCGACCTTCAAAATAATTAGCATTCTGTTTGGGAGCCTTTCCTTTTTTTTCTTCTTTTAATTTTTTTTTAAACACAAATAAATCGGGCAATGCCAAACGGCTGTGACGGAAATTTTCCACAACTCGACTGGTGTAACACGGCTCTGCCATTGGCTGCCTGTTTGACCCCCATGTCACGTGACCCCCGTCGTGTGTTGTAACTGAAACATACTCTGACGGTTGTTGTTTCTGCCCCAGTGAACGTCAATAACAGTAAAATCGAAAAGTATTTCGTTAAAAAAGTCTTTAAAATACTTGGGAGTCAACCTGCTATGCAGGGAACATCAGTCAGTCGATGCAAGTCAGATGTGGGGGGCAGTCACAATGTGGGAACATATGACTTAAGTCAGCTAGACATTCAATATAAGACTTTAACAAGCGCCTTTGGCGAGAAAACTAAGCATGACTATTGGAGTCATGTTTTACGTGTAAACTTAACATGACTTGGTCAGTTAAGGGGATATTTCGGGTAGTGGGTTGTACACCTGTTGGTCAGTTCATGTGGTATTTTGGATAGTGGGTTGTACAACTGTTGGTCAGTTCATGTGGTATTTCGGGTAGTGGGTTGTACAACTGTTGGTCAGTTCATGTGGTATTTCGGGTAGTGGGTTGTACACCTGTTGGTCAGTTCATGTGGTATTTCGGATAGTGGGTTGTACATCTGTTGGTCATTTCATGTGGTATTTTGGGTAGCGGGTTATACATCTGTTGGTCAGTTCAGGTGGTATTTCGGGTAGTGGGTTGTACATCTGTTGGTCATTTCATGTGGTATTTCGGGTAGTGGGTTGTACATCTGTTGGTCATTTCATGTGGTATTTTGGGTAGTGGGTTGTACATCTGTTGGTCATTTCATGTGGTATTTTGGGTAGCGGGTTGTACATCTGTTGGTCAGTTCATGTGGTATTATGGGTTGTGGTTTGTACACCTGTTGGTCAGTTCATGTGGTATTTCGGGTAGTGGGTTGCCCTCTAACAGGGCGTTACGTTGCAGACTACTCAGAAATATCACATGATAGATTGACGTAATCAGCTTATCGGTTCACACCTGAAACAAAAAAAAATTGACGTCCTTTTACACCGCCTAAATGAACGACCTCGTCATACTATTCTAGTCGTCCAACCTACATTATCTTCTAGCCGCCCACGCGACATTACTACCGGCCGTCCACGCTACCCCATCCAGTAGCTTCCAAAGGCGGGGGCGCGGGGTGCTGTCCGCACCGGGTGACACCACATCGAAAAAATTACTGTTAAAATCATTTTTGACTAGTTAAATTTTTAAATTAGGGAGAATGTAAAAAAAATATGGGGGGGGGGGGGGGGGGGGGGGTTAAACGCACCTGTTGACACCCGACGTAGTGACGCCACTGACTTGATCTAATGAGCCGACTTAAAGTAGTCAGTGTCCCTTTTTTTTACCTCTCTTTTACTCTGATTTCACGTCTAGTGTATTACCTCACCATTCTATATTGTCACGTCTAGTCTATTTCCCCACCCGTCTATGTATATTGTCACGTCTAGTCTATTGCCCCACCCGTCTATATTGTCACGTCTAGTCTATTGTCCCCACCCGTGTATATAATATTGTCACGTCTAGTCTATTGCCCCCCCCCCTACCCGTCTATATTGTCACATCTAGTCTATTGTCCCACCCGTCTCTATTGTCACGTCTAGTCTATTGCCCCCCCCCTACCCGTCTATATTGTCACATCTAGTCTATTGTCCCACCCGTCTCTATTGTCACGTCTAGTCTATTGTCCCACCCGTCTATATTGTCACGTCTAGTCTATTGCCCCACCCGTCTCTATTGTCACGTCTAGTCTATTGCCCCACCAGTCTATATTGTCACGTCTAGTCTATTGTCCCACCCGTCTATATTGTCAAGTCTAGTCTATTGTCCCACCCGTCTCTATTGTCACGTCTAGTCTATTGCCCTAATGTTGCACTGGCTGACGACGACATCAACTACGTATTCTCCAATATGTTACTGACGTGTACATTATCGAGCAAATACCTACCTGAAATGTGTCGACACTTTCTCAAGGTGAGAAAGCTCGGCTCGTGAAAATATTTTAATGGCGGGAGATACGCTCGTTGACCTCTGGCCCAGTCTGCATTAAGGCTAATAATTAGGAGAGAAAAAATGCGAATAATTATGCAGGAGGTGTGAGGTGCACGGGACAACTGAGGGGAACTAATCAGTTATCTCTGTGAGGGGAACTAATCAGCTCTCTCTGAGTGCAGTTCGCATTTTTTGGAGATTCCAAAAACTGCTGCAGCTATGCAGGTTGTGTTTTGGGGGAGGGGGGGGGGGGTGGCGAGGTGGGTTATCTATATCGTTGTGGTGTCTGAAGGTGTTTTTGAGTGTAAAGTTGTAGAGGTGTTGTTGGTGAGGGGGGGGGTGGCAAGGTGGGGTATCTATATCGTTGTGGTGTCTGAAGGTGTTTTTGAGTGTAAAGTTGTAGAGGTGTTGTTGGTGAGGGGGGGGAGGGGTGGCAAGGTGGGGTATCTATATCGTTGTGGTGTCTGAAGGTGTTTTTGAGTGTAAAGTTGTAGAGGTGTTGTTGGTGAGGGGGGGGGGAGGGGTGGCAAGGTGGGGTATCTATATCGTTGTGGTGTCTGAAGGTGTTTTTGAGTGTAAAGTTGTAGAGGTGTTGTTGGTGAGGGGGAGGGGTGGCAAGGTGGGGTATCTATATCGTTGTGGTGTCTGAAGGTGTTTTTGAGTGTAAAGTTGTAGAGGTGTTGTTGGTGAGGGGTGGCAAGGTGGGGTATCTATATCGTTGTGGTGTCTGAAGGTGTTTTTGAGTGTAAAGTTGTAGAGGTGTTGCTATAAATTGTATTGGCCTTAGAAACGTGCCTGTAGCCCTGAGATTGTGTCCTTTGGTGGGTACCCTAATAAAAGCCTTAACACAACATAAACAGAACCAGTCTAAAATAGACAATACACAGTCTCACACACACACTATGCCTCTGTCAGTGTAGCTTTAGTGCACTGTTAAGTTTTTTTACAATCTTCAAGGCTGTGGCAACCTTCCACAGAGAAAAATAAAAATTTCATCAGATTGGCAGGTGTCCAGTCATTTGCTGCCTGCCAACAGGAAATTCCCCTTCATTGAAATTTATTTACTGTGATTCTTGTCTAGTTTGTTTTTAAATCACAGTTTATATGATGAGTAAATAACTTTTTTCTGAACATCTGTTACACCCTTTCACAACAGTTTACGGCAAGCAGAAAGTTTATTTGATTAAACAAGTATTAAATGTGTGATCACTCTAAGATCCCTGTTACAATTCTCTTCCACCCATTTAAAAAGCAGATCATAATAACACACTTTTATATACCTACTTAAAAGAGGAAAATTAAACAATTTTCTTAGTGATCAATAATGCACCACTATTTTTCTAGCTATTTATATAACTTGTGTATTGAAAACTCTTACTAAAGAAATTGTTTGAGTGATAAATAATTATATAAATAGTGGTGCATTATTCTTTATTTTAAAGAATATCTTTTATATACTGTGTAACATCTGTAGCATTTATTGTCCACAGTTTCATCACCACAGAGAAGGGTCCATGTCAGATTCTCTTTCATCCATAGATAGCAGTTACATCAGCGGACAGTAAGTCTTTCAACATATATATACATTCATGTATATTTATATATACATATATATATACACACACACAAAGGTTTGGGGGTGGGCAAACATGCACTCTCCATAAATTTACATGTGATTTGTAAACTCGTAACGCAAGTGACTAAAATCTATGTTTTTTCCACCCCAGTGATTCCTATGGCAGGCGGAGGGATTCACACCGTAGTGCTCTTTCGGAGGGTCCAAAAGATGAGGTGGAGTCGCGAGGTACAGTTTTGTTGTTGGTTTGTTTTATTAGTCACAGTATAGGCTTGCTTTAAGCAGACCGTACATTTGATGTCTATTGTCTCCACAGATCGCAGCAAACGTTTTGGCACTTTCCCCAGGGGGTTTGACAATCAGGAAACAAACACAGAAATAAATGGTCAGTCTTTCTCGCATGAATATTGTCAAAAAAATCACAAATTAAATTCATGACCTATGTTTTATGAACTAAACATAAAAATGTTTTTTTAAATATTTTTGCACCAACTTTTGAACACAAGCTTATATTGATATGACTTCAGGTCGTCAGACATTTCCAAGGTCCAGAAGGCTGGACTACGAGTCCTCGTCCATCATGTCCCTCATGTCTCACAGCTCCGAGGGCACCCTGGACTCACAGAGCTCATCCAGCAGCGGCTTCCCAGCAGACGGGGACTGGGACTCCCCTGGGGGCAGATATTCCATGAGTGGACCCATGTTCTCTAAATGTAAACCTCAAATATTTTTATGTAAACTTCTGTATCCTGAACGTTTTTTTTCTGAATGTAAACCTCTGTTTAATTATTTATCTCAGTGTAAACATCCTTAATTTAAATCCCTTTTTTTATAGTAACACCTGTTTTCTTAATATAAACTTTTCATTTTTTTTTCTTATTGTTTGGATGATGTACACTTGGTATTTGTGAATCAGCATTGTATTATTAAAATATTTTAGTTATCTATGACAATGTAAGTCTAGATAATTTTCCTTAATTAACTTAAGTAATTAGTTTTATTAAAATATTTTAGTATTTAGACTCAAATGTTATATAATAAATGTTCACAGCCCCGCGAGCACCAACCAACTGGAGGAGGGGTAAGCTGCTGGGGTCAGGGGCATTTGGTGAGGTCTACCTGTGTTGTGATACTGACTCATCCATAGAGTTGGCTGTGAAGCAAGTACTCCTAGGGAACATGAACGCTGAAGTTTCAAAAGTCAGTTGTTGTTTTTTTATCTCACTTTACACACTTTTTTTTTAAAAATGCAGTAATTATTTTCTAGAGGTAGTTTAGACTTATTTTTTTAATAAATAACTTTTGTATCCACCGCGGAGACCAGCTTTTAAGGCAACAATAGTGTACTATTTAAATAAACTAAAAACTTTTTCATTTATATTGAAGATGTATTTATAGCCTTTTTTAAAAATAGAAATGATATTCATGATTCTGAAAAGTGTGTAGTAATATATATTTTATTTGTGTGTTTAGGAAGTCAGGGCTCTAGAAAATATTTAATTTGTGTGTTTAGGAAGTCAGGGCTCTAGAAAATATTTTATTTGTGTGTTTAGGAAGTCAGGGCTCTAGAAAATATTTTATTTGTGTGTTTAGGAAGTCAGGGCTCTAGAAAATATTTTATTTGTGTGTCTAGGAAGTCAGGGCTCTAGAAAATATTTTATTTGTGTGTCTAGGAAGTCAGGGCTCTAGAAAACGAGCTTCAGCTGTTGAGAAACTTCCAGCATGAGAGGATAGTCCAGTACTACGGCTGTCAAGAGGAGAACAGGGTCCTCTCTATATTCATGGAGTATATGGCTGGGGTAAGTGGTTGTCTTATGGTTTGGTAAGTGGTTGTCATATGGCTGGGGTAAGTAGATGTCATTTGGCTGGGTTAAGTCGTTGTCAGATATACAATGACAGGTGCAAATGTCATTTATGGCTGGGGGTAAGAGGTTAGTTCTACATGAATGTCATATGGGGTTGCTTGAGTTATTTTGAAAACAAATACTCGTTACCTCGCCTACATTGCTTTTTAAAAAAAAAAATGTTTTAAAGGACTTATTAGTAGATTTCTTTACAAATAAAAATTATTTTAAGAGAATAACCGTGTTCTACATTGTGGCTAATTTATTTCCCACTATTTAAAAAGCTGTATGTGTTTCTCAGGGATCAGTGTTGGACCATATAAAACAGTACGGGCCTTTGACAGAGCGTGTGGCTAGTAAATACACTAGGCAGATGCTCCAAGGCCTAGCTTTCTTACATAAAAATGTCATCGTCCATAGAGACTTAAAAGGTAGATTCAAAGTTTTTTTAAATTTATATAATTTATATAAATTTATGATTTAAAAATGTTTTTTGTATGATATAATCAGCTGATTGATTAAAAATGTGCTATTGTATGCTTTAAGCTGCGAATGTACTTCGAGACACACAAGGCAATGTGAAGCTGGGAGACTTTGGAGCATCAAAACGTCTTCAGACCATCACTAGCGCCACAGGCCTGAGGACTGCCATAGGGACTCCACATTGGATGGCGCCTGAGGTTATAAGTGGTGATGGTTATGGTCGTAAGGCTGATGTTTGGTGAGTTAGTGGAGATATTTTTACCTTGCAACGTGGTTAGGGTTAGAGTAGTCTGGGATTAGAAATATGAGGGTCTAGTTATTTGGTTGTTTTATTTTTGTGCTCCTTCCCAATTTTTTATATTTGTACATGTGTAGTTTCCTTTTTTGTTATGTATGCAAATTTCTTTTTTTTATATTGTATTTTCCATTTTGTATATATTCGGTGTATTTACTTTCTGTAAGTTACATTGACTTACCTGGTACACCTTTTTGTCCATGTCATTGACTCACCTTATTGTCCATGTCATTGACTCACCTGGTACATTTTATTGTCCATGTCATTGACTCACCTGGTACACCTTATTGTCCATGTCATTGACTCACCTGGTACACCTTATTGTCCATGTCATTGACTCACCTGATACACTTTATTGTCCATGTCATTGACTCACCTTATTGTCCATGTCATTGACTCACCTGGTACACCTTATTGTCCATGTCATTGACTCACCTGGTACACCTTATTGTCCATGTCATTGACTCACCTGGTACACCTTATTGTCCATGTCATTGACTCACCTGGTACACTTTATTGTCCATGTCATTGACTCACCTTATTGTCCATGTCATTGACTCACCTGGTACACCTTATTGTCCATGTCATTGACTCACCTGGTACACCTTATTGTCCATGTCATTGACTCACCTGGTACACCTTATTGTCCATGTCATTGACTCACCTTATTGTCCCTGTCATTGACTCACCTGATACACCATATTGTCCATGTCATTGACTCACCTGGTACACCTATATTTTCAGGAGCCTGGGCTGTACTGTCGTGGAAATGTTGACGCTGAAACCACCCTATGCAGACTACGAGCCATTCGCAGCCATGTTCCAGATAGCCACCAACGCCACACCCAAGTACGAGCTTCCTGCAGGGACCAGTGTGCTGGTGAAGGACTTCCTTGCTTTAACATTTCAGCGAACTCCCACTAAGAGGCCTTCAGCAGAGGATTTAATGGATCATAGATTTGTGAAAGACTTGACTTAATGATGGTGTGTTTTCCCTAGGATTTCTCAAATTTGTGTACAAAATTTTCACTAGTTTTGCCAATTGGGATTACTCCAGTGTGTTGGATCCATTGTTTCAAAGTTTGGATTATAAAGTTCTGTGCCTGGAAATGTTTATATTACAATAATTTGACTACTGTGTTTCACTTTTATGCCAAGGGTCGTTCCTGTTATTGGAAGTTGTTGTATACTTAAAACTGCATAACAAACATAAACATGGTGCCAGTCATGTGACTCGGGTCATGTGACTTCAGGCTATGCAGCTGATTCATTACTCATTTATTTTTTACCTGAACTGAAGCGACATTTTGCCTTCAATGAAAAATTTATTCAGTATACAAAATAGAATTGCCATAATATATTTTTGTGTGATGGATCATGTTTTGTGCACACTCATGAAGGTTGGATACTTACGGATAATATTTCTAGTGGTTCTCTTATTGTGGATAACACTGGGATTCTTGTCTCCATATTTTTTTATATCAGTGTGAGCTTTCAGATGAATGAATGATAAGATCATACCAACTGTATGTAACAAGATCATCTGAAGGTGCATCTGTAACAAGATCATCTGAATGTACATCTGTAACAAGATCATCTGAATGTACGTCTGTAACAAGAGCATCTGAATGTACATCTGTAACAAGATCATCTGAAGGTGCATCTGTAACAAGATCATCTGAATGTACATCTGTAACAAGATCATCTGAATGTACATCTGTAACAAGATCATCTGAATGTACACCTGTAACAAGATCATTCATCACATGAATACAACTATCCTGATGGCTGATTTCATTGAGTGTTCATTGAATCAAACTTTCATCTGTGTCTTCACCAGTGGTCCCTATTTGACCAGCCTCCAACAATGTTCTACCGCATTGTTCACTCTTTGCCATACACTTATTTCTTTAAAAGGATTGACATAATTTTGACCAAAAAAAAACTGCATTATTTATGTTAGAAGCTTAGATTCTATGCACATGTCAGCTCTCAGTGTGTGTGTCTGGTATGTAGAAGGTGGGTGACTGAGGCAATACAAAGAGAAGGTGGACTCAAATCTACTTAAAACTATTGGAACTCTTCTGTTTATGTAGCTCTGCACATTTTTAACTGTGTTACTAACGTGCAATGTCTTTTTTTTTTATATAAAACTATACTAATCAACATTCAAATAAATGAAACTATTCAACAAATAAATGAAACTATTCATTGCTGTGAAGAGATTGATGTTTAAATAAAAAGCAGATAAATTCTAGCAGTTTAACACAGGAATTCGCAATACTAAACAATATTAGCAGTTATTACATTTTAATTTAAAACTGTTAATTAAATGGATTTTTTTTTATCTAAACACATTTTTAAATTAAATGTGTTTTCTAAAATGTGATTCTCCAAGGTTTGAACTGTGTCTGTTACCCTGGTGTTGAACCACTTGTTGGAACAGCCACTTTTATTCATGTATAACATGTCAGTGTGTGTGGAACCACTTGTTGGAACAGCCACTTTTATTCATGTATAACATGTAGCAGTGTGTGTTGAACCACTTGTTGGAACAGCCACTTTTATTCATGTACAACATGTAGCAGTGTGTGTGGAACCACTTGTTGGAACAGCCACTTTCATTCATGTCTACCATGTAGCAGTGTTACCTCTGTCCCTTGCTTCAGGCTGTCTATAACATTTTCATACTGCTGGTCTTCAGTGCTGTTTAATCATAATAAAACTTACTCTATAGGAGGCAACCTGTTAGCTTTGTATATACTTAGCATGTTGAAGCATAATCAAAAATGTGATACTTCTAGTTTTCAATCTGTTGCTTGTACCATTTTTCAAACATCTATTTACAGTTGCTGGTATAAAAAATATTTTTGTTTAAACTTAAAGAAACAGAGTTTAATGTGGCCAAATTATTTTAAAATCTGATCAGGTTGTAATATTTAAAAAAAGTTTTACCCTAATTCTTTTTAGCAATCTAATTTTTATTCTACAATTGCATGTGCCATAAACAATTTTTTTAAAATAATAGTTATTTTTAACCAAGTTTTATTCAGTCAAGAAAACAAAACATTTTATCAACTTAAAATTTTAACATGGTGCAACTTATTTTAAAAATAAGATTGATAACAAAATAGCACAACTTCCATCTAGCATGATGTACTTAATTTTATTTAAATGTAAAAAACAAATCTTAATTCTGATCACTGTTCTTCATGAGGAGTTTCCATTAAAAAGTTGAAATGCAGTGAAATATTCAATTTTTATAAAAAGCTTAAATGATGCAATGGCAAAATATTCAATGTTCATAAAAAGCTTAAATGATGCAATGAGTTAAGAATGTCCACTTTAAGTTATATAAATACTATTTTAGTATTTGTGTGCTCAAAGATTAGCATTTAACTGCTTATAGTTTCAGCTGAATAATTTATTTTTAGATTGCATTCATCTGCAAATAACAAGAACTTAAAAATAATTTACTTAATTTAGTGTATGATAAAATGTGTGTTGACTGTAAATGTTTATTTGATGTTTTATAACAACTTGGGATAAGTATGTACATAATGTTTCTCACCAGCAATGGTCACCCATTGGTCAGGTATGGGAACTAACTTGTTGATCACACTAACACGACTCTCAGCTTTAGTAACAAAAACTATTTGGGAAAATTAGTTTTGGTTTGATGCACATTCCTTTTTTACCTAGGTAAACAAATATTACTGGCATGCACTTGTTTTCTGTGGGTAGTGTAACTTTAAAGTCTGAAATAATGTCTAAAACAGGTTTTATTTTTATTGTTATTTAAAGCATTGCGTTTCTTTGTGTTAATGTAGTTAGCAGAAGTTGTCTCCCTGTTATGTCTATTTTAAAAACATTTTTGAATGAATAAAAGTTTAGACTTGATTTAAAACTTTCACCCCTCTCTTAAGGGGGGAACACTCTTGTTGTCCTGTGTGTAGTTGGATCAGGACAGCTAGCATTTAAATCCTACTTGTACAATAACTTTTCAGATTGTTTTCTATGCAACTTGTGGGAATGTAAATTCTAGATAGTGGAGATATATTTTAATTTATTGGTAGCATAGTCTGTACAGCATTTATAATCATCTGATGTTTTTTTAATTATGTCTGTGTACATTACCTTGTCTGTGTAGATCATGGAAGTAAATCAGTCCTGTTTGATTTTGTGAAGATATGCTATCACTGTACCTGAACTTCTGCTTACACCAACCCTCTACACTAGCAGAGACTGGTTGTCAATTTTACTGTCATACTCCAACCCTCTACATTATCAGAGACTGGTTGTCATACACCAACCCTCTACACTATCAGAGACTGGTTATTATAAACCAACCCTCTACACTATCAGAGATTGGTTGTTATAAACCAACCCTCTACTCTGTCAAAGGCTGGTTGTTATAAACCAACCCTCTACACTAGCAGTGGTTGTTTGTCCTACACTAGCAGTGGTTGGTTGTCATCAAACATCATCCCAGCCCTGATACACTCTCTAGCATCTGTCCCTGATATAGGAGTATGAACTATTCCCCAACCAGCACATCTTTTAGTTGATTGTGTGTGATCATTCAGATCCACCATACCATTCAGTCTCTTGCTTTACCTTGAGATTTTTATCTAAGAACCTTAGGCACACCTTACAACAGAGTGTAAGAAACACAGTTAGTTATAACATCGTCTGTTAGTCTGATAAACAGCGTACCTTAAGTTAATTTTTTTTTTTTATAAATGCAATATATTTAATGAAATACCCGCAAGTGCCTTTATTTGTAGATAAAAAAAAAATATTTTGTAATTCATTTTCTCTATATAACTTATTGTTGCGGCTGATAAATTATTTATAATTTCAACCCACAGCTCTATGCATTGGATGAATCATTTTAAACAAACTTATTGTTTGAAACTGTTTCATTGCGTATAGAAATAATTTCTGTCTGTCATAATTATCTGGTTCAATTTTTCAGGACTCTTTGCTTGGGTGAATTTATTTGTTTTTTTATGAATGACTGTGATCTTCAGACAAATTCACATTATTATGATGTACAAAAATGGCAGATGTTTTGTTTTTCATGAATAATCACCAGCACTTGTCATAGCTCTAGACCATTTGTTCATGGGTGAATCTGCTGTCAGGAACTCTATAGCATCATGTATTGTATAATATTCATTGACTCGATATAAAAATGGACTTGTACAGTATGTCATGTTTACATTGTATGCTTGAGGTTAGGTCCATGTCTGGCTAGTAGGCGGGTAATTTACATGGTTTCATTATGTGACTAAAATACTTGATCATTGTCTCTACTTGAACCAGGAACCAAACCAAACCAATGTATCCTATTTAGTTGAATGACTGAGTCCAACTAAAGTATCTAGTAAAATCACAAACAAAAATGAAGCCAAATTATATATCCTATATAACTAAGTGATTTCTGCTGAGGTTTCATTAGCCCAAGTTCAGCAGCTGGGGTTTATTTTTATATATATATATATATATATATATATATATATATATATATATATATATATATATATATATATGGATCTCTTGTGCAAAAGGGGGTTAGCTTTGGATAGTAGCGCGGCATGCCATCTTAATGCTCTTACAAAGTCACATACTTTGTTGAGTAAATGTGTATGTAATTTTAGAAATGCTGCAACTAAGTTTCTCTGAGCAAAAACACAAGCAACAGATCAATTAATACATGATTAACATAATCAAGATGGTCCAATAAAATTATCACAGCTATGCAATATGAAAGTACCTGATAAAATCTATTTTAAGTCATATTTAAAGTATAAAACAAATGTTACAAAACAATACCTGTGAATTTTTAATTATATTCTTGCGATATTTTATATTTCTTAATTTGATTCTATTTGTCACATTGCAAGTTTTTGTCCTATTTCTATATTTAGCAATGACTAATTGACTCAAAGATGCATTATATTTTAGTACAAAGTGATGCTTTTTAACTGATGTTGTCCAATACATTTGTGCTACTCTACAATTTTTTTTTTTTTTACTAAAAGCTTCCAATTTTTTAACGTACTGTCTATATTTTGAAAAAATTAACAATTCTAGTATCACAAGAAGTAAAACAAAAGAGCTGTGAAGAAAAAATTATATTGTTATAATTAAGTTGTCAAATTAACTGGTGATATGGTCCAACTTTGTACTCAAATTATTTATAGATAAGGGCTTTAAATGTAGCCTATAATTAATTTTAAAAAATAATAGTAGAAAAAGTTTAAGAATTTATGGTGATTTTTAAAACTTGTGATTTATTGCCTTTGTAAATGAAGCGAGTAACATTGTTGAATAATTTCTTAGTGTTTAGAATGTGATGTTAAATTTTATTATTTTAGATATGTTTGTCATCACATCTTAGTTCTCTCCCTTTGTTTATGTTTATTTCAACAAAGCCTTAACTATTAAATTACTGATGCTGACATGCATGAATTTATTGACCATTTTAAATTTTTTTCTGTCATTTATATTGCTCTCATCACTTATAAACACCGACTTTTTGTATAATAATAAAAAATACTAAAAGGTAAAAAAATTTGTTTCTTGTATTTTCAAACTTTTTGTTCAAGACTGTCACAGTTTATACTACAGCACTTCTCAAGGTCTCTTGCCCTGACTTCATTGTTCCCTTTAGTGCTTGAGTGTTTACTACAGTTGTAGATCAGGTTCTGAATGTAAGAATCAAACTTTTCACTACTGCCTGTTCTACCCAGTTTACTTAGAAAAACAATTTCATCTTGCTGAATACATCATTCTGAAGGCCAAGTATAGGAAGAAATAAAGATTTACCTTGTGTAAAATGCAAATGGTTCACACCAAAGTTACAACTAGTTACAAAACAAACACAAATGAAATAAAGCGTTCACAATCGAGGCTGAAAACAAGAACTGGTTTTTGTATGCAGTTTATTCCAACAGTTTTGTTTTTATCAGAAGATGACAAAGTATAAAAGACAGTTCATAATTTTCAGCTAGTTAAAACAATGTGCCAATCAGAGAACACCTTGTGTTCATAACATTGAAAATAGTGACATAAGTATCTTTATAACAATACATGAGCATCAAAAGATGGGATAAATACATTCTATTTCTATCCTGTTGATACTGAATCTTTTTGAATTATAAATTTGTTGGCTAAGAATTTTAATTACCTATTTACTGAAGTATTTAATGCTGTACAGTTATTTACTGTAGACAAGAGCCATCCTCAGCTCTGTATTCATTAATTAATGAAGTAAAAAGATTTTTTAATAATTTCGTTTGTTTTACCTAAAATCAGTTTCTTGAAAATATGAAAGATCCAGGTATCAACTAATCAAGTAAAGGATTAGCCACCATCAAATTCTTATATAAAGTGCTAGCATATTAAGTCGTCTACATTGATGTTTCAATGTACATAAGAGTAGCATAAGATCAAAACCTTGGACAGAAGCAGATAACTAATTAAGATTTAAAAACAGGGGATTCATTCCCTTCAGGTGGGGTGGCTGTTTCACTTTTCTTACCATCTGCTGTGTTATCTTTTGTTTTAGAGGTCTCCAGCCAAAACAGATCCTCTGTATTGAAAAAAGTATGAATTGATTAGAACCTTGGCAACTAAATCTTAAACAGTAAGAAGTATGAATTGATTAGAATGTTGGCAACTAAATCTTAAACAGTAATGAGTAAGAAGTATGAATTGATTAGAACCTTGGCAACTAAATCTTAAACAGTAAGAAGTATGAATTGATTAGAATGTTGGCAACTAAATCTTAAACAGTAATGAGTAAGAAGTATGAATTGATTAGAACCTTGGCAACTTAATCTTAAACAGTAAGAAGTATGAATTGATTAGAACTTTGGCAACTAAATCTTTAAGAATTATTAATATTGTTTCTTTTAACTGCTATATCACCTGGAGAGAGAATGTATGAGTCTTGATCCTGCTCTTTGCATTTAGGATCATTCTCAGGGCCCAGTGTCCACAGGGACTCAATGTCATAGAACTCTCTGGCGTCTCCATGGAAGATGTGCAGCACAATGTTACCTGAGGGGGTCAAGGAAACAATGTTACCTCAGGGGGTCAAGGAAACAATGTTACCTGAGGGGTCAAGGAAACAATGTTACCTGAGGGGTCAAGGAAACAATGTTACCTCAGGGGGTCAAGGAAACAATGTTACCTGAGGGGTCAAGGAAACAATGTTACCTGAGGGGGTCAAGGAAACAATGTTACCTGAGTGGTCAAGGAAATAGTTATTCTATTCAGGTTTTAAAACCTTACAAATCTGAAGAAAATGGTGTTTTCAATCAAAGTTTTTAATTATAATAAAACAAAGGCAAGTAGTTCAAATATAAAAAATGAGCAGATGTAATAATGAGCAGTTTGATATTTTGTAAAGATTAGATAAAAAAAAAATGTTTTGTAGTTGTCAAAGTAGACAACAGATTTTTTTTTCCAAGAAAAATAATAAAGTCAATATTTTTTAACAATGATATTGAATAAAACAAACCCATATCCATGGCACACCAGTGGGTCTTGTTAAAGCCTTCTATGACCAGATGATGATCATTAGGTGACTTTTTTCTTTTGTGCTGGAACACAACATTGTTGATGAGCATTTCAATTTTACCCAATGATACACAAGCAAAATAAAATGGAATAACTGTTTACACTTACATATGTATTTGCTTATGAACAAAATATAAAGCAAAGCACAATCATTATTTTTACAGCACACGAAGTTTAGCCTTTGACAACATGGAAATTGTTGAGACACTATGGGTGCCACAGAAAATAGTCATCATTTTGCCCTCATTTGAAGGCCTAAAATGTAGAGTAGTATGTGGCCAACAGACTACAGAGACCTTCCCTGTACAGACTAGAGTAAGGCAATGTTGCCTACTTTCACCATTCCTGTTCCTGCTGGCCATTGACTGGATAATATTATTAAGATATCAACAGACAAAAAGTGAAATAATATATAGTGGACACTCTGGAAACAGCTGGATGACCTGGACTTTGCTGATGGCCTGGCCCTTCTATCTCCCACATAACAGCAATTTCAAGATAATACCAACAGTGTTGCTAATTTTTCTACATCCTGGCCTGAACATCCACAGTCAATACATCAAGCAGCACCCCTATAACACTGGCAGAGGAAGCCTTAGAAAAAGTGGATAGGCTCACCTACCTTTGAAGCATTGTTGAACAGAAGCAGACAAAAATAAAGATTGGCAATGTAAGAGTAGCATTTACAAAATGCTTGGGGCTCTGGAGATTTAACTTTTGGAATAAGAATGTGGAGCTGAGACATGGAGAACAACTGCCATAAATAAATAGAAAATAATTTATAAACGTATGCCTCAGGAAGATCATTCAAATACGATGGCCTAATACCATCAGAAATGGGGAACTGAGGCACCAGACTGACCAACTGCCAGCTGATGAAGAGATCCAGAAAAAATGAGGATTAATTAGCCACACACTCAGGATGCCTGAATTCAGCATAACTAGACAGGCCATCACCTGGAATCCACAGGGCAAAAGGAAAGAGGTTGACCACGGAAGATCTGGATACATGACCTGGAAGAAGACACCAAGAAGATTGGATACACCTGGGGACAGTTGGAGAGAGTAGCCCAGGTCAGAGATGCCTGGAAAGCACTTGTCAGCAGCCTATGTCCTGGAGGGGGGGGGGGGGAGGGAACAACACGGACAACAGGCAAAATTAACCTAACCTAACTTTAAGTTTACTTACCACCCATAATAATTCCTCATTTAAGGCATTTAAATGGCGTTTCGACTTAGCTGATGCTATGACCATATTGTCACAAAAACTAGCTTTCTTTGGAATTGGAATAGTTACAATATTTTCTGCTCCCATGTGAGTTAAAAATGTTACCAATTCATCAACATCAAAAACACCTGTTTTGCCTCCTGAGGAATGAAGAAAAAAAAATCAATGTTTCAAAAAGAAGACTAACTATTTTACAAAAATTATTTAGATGTAGAAGCAAGCTGAAGCGAAGTAATTTTTTCCAAAAAGTAAAATAAACACTGTATTTAATTATGAATATAAACTTTACTTACGCTCTAGACTAATGGGAAGCACTTTACTAGGTCGAATTTGTTGCTGTGCTATTTCACTTTCTTCTTTATAGTCAAATTCCTCTATATCTTCTGCCACCTGATAGTCATACTGAAACTCAGATTCTAATTCAACTGGCTTAGAATCAGAATCTAATTTACTGAAATTTAAGAGTTGGGAATCTTGTGTTTTCTCAACTTTGCTCTTTCTAGCTTTAGGTTTGACTGTTGAATCTGCATCTTTTGGTTGTTCAGTGTTCTTAACATCAAAATCTTTTTTAAAGTCATCTAATATTGATTTTATTTCAGCATCATTTTTAAACAATTCTTCTTCATCTTTTACACCATCATTAAATATACTGCTTTTTGAAGAGGATGAACTTTCTCTTTTTAAAATCTTGTTTGTATCTGTTTGTTTACATAAATAAAGTCTTTTGGAGCTTTCGTTTATCAAGGTTTCATAATTTAAAAGTTGTAGTAACTTTGTCTTTGAACTGCGGTTTTCTACTGCTGACTTTGAAGATGACCACATCCAAAAGGCTCGACTTATGTTACAATACTTGCACATCTTGCATAATAAAGAAGAATTTAAAGTTGATTGATGAATTCCATTTATCAGAGTTATGGAGGCCATTGTCGTGATTGTAGTAAGTTAATTTAAACTTAAACGTTGTGAATCACCACAGTTACCACAGTAACTGACCAAACTTGCACTTGACTTAAACTCTTAAATAAGCTGGTACTTAGATTCTAGAATCTAAATCTACTAGAACTAGATCTATGTCACGGTAGATCTATTCGTTAGTTAGGTCCTAGATCTAGACCTAGTAGATCTATGTACTCACTAGATCTAGATATCTATATTCTATATGTAGAGTATTGCAGAGTCTAGTAGGCTAATGTACATGTAGGTTTCATTTTCTGATCTGCAATGTTTTTTGGACTTCTATAAAAGAGACTACCCCACTTGTGTCGCAGGAAGTCGAATTACGTGTGTAACTGCGAATTCGTCCAAGGCCTATTTCTTTAAAAAATAAAATCTAGAATCTAATAATTGTTTTGTCAGACCACTGGATCTAGTCTTCTAGATCTTGTAGATCTATGTCTAGATTCAGCTTGTTATTCCTCATGGTTTCCATTTTTACTTTCTCGTATATACGAAGTATAGAGAAAGTATTGTAATCGTGCAAAAAAAAAAAAAAAATCGAGATTTTTACAAATCTCGACGTTTTACACCTCACTGATACGGAAAAACATAATTTTGCAATCTTGTCCGTATGTCTGTGTGTCTGTCTGTGTGTCTGTCTGTCTGTCCGTGTGTAAACACGATTACTTGAGAACCGTTACAGCTAGGTTGATGAAATTTCATATATAAGTATTGTATCAAAATCGTAGATCCGTATCAACTTTTGAGCGATTTCCGATAACCGGAAGTGGTACATTTCCTACTTTGAATTTTTCAAAAGCCTATAACTTGAGTACTATTTCAGATAGATAAATGAAATTTCACATGTAAGTAAAAGATCTAATTCTCTATCTTCTGTTAAATTTTGAGCAATTTCCGTTGACCGGAAGTAGTAATTTACGCTACTTCCGATTTCTCAAAAAACTAATGTAAATTTTTAAAGTACTAATAATATTGCGCACTATTATGCGCTTTTTTATTTGGCGTTCACTTGGTGTGCAATTAATTTGTCTACGAGATTTTATTCTATTTTTAAAACTTTAAGTATTTAAAATGGATTAAAAATCATGTCTATAGCCCGAGTTCCCATCCCCTGTTATTTTATATAAGAATATTCGAGAAAGTTTAGGGGAGGTCACTCCCGGTTTATTATGTAAAATTTCGCCCCCATAAAAGTTACTCAATTTATCGGCTTGTGAAATTCCCGGCGACTGGGGCGAACTTTCAATTTGGCGCCCCTCTCCCCACATTTTTAGTGCTATGTTACTGCTATGTGTTTTTTAATTGTTTTATTTGTTTAAACGGCCAATGTGAAAAGAGGCCTTTGTGCCTACAATTGTAATCTTTTTTTTTTAATAAATTTGAAATTTGAATAAATTTGAATAAATTTAAATTTGTCCCCCACCCCATTACGGTGTATGATTTTCGTTTCTAAACTATACTCGACGCCAATTAAACTCCCTGTCGGGTGCAATATCTTTTTAAAAAAGATTAATGATGTCAGAGAAAATAAACCGGTAGTGATCTCCCCTAAACTTTCTCGAATATTCTTATATAAAACAACAGGGGATGGTAACTGGGGATATAGTTATGATTTTTAATCCATTTTAAATACTTAAACTTTTAAAAATAGAATAGAATCTCATAAAAAAAACATTGCGCACCAAGCAAACGCCGAATAAAAACGCGTATAATAGTGCGCAATATTATTAGTACTTTAAAAATTTACATTAGTTTTTTGAGAAATCGGAAGTAGCGTAAATTACTACTTCCAGTCAACGGAAATGACTCAAAATTTAACAGAAGGTAGAGAATTAGATCTTTTACTTACATGTGAAATTTCATTTATCTATCTGAAATAGTACTCAAGTTATAGGCTTTTGAAAAATTCAAAGTAGGAAATGTACCACTTCCGGTTATCGGAAATCGCTCAAAAGTTGATACGGATCTACGATTTTGATAAAATACTTATATATGAAATTTCATCAACCTAGCTGTAACGGTACTCAAGTTATCGTGTTTACACACGGACAGACACACACACGGACAGACACACACACACACAGACATACGGACAAGATTGCAAAATTATGTTTTTCCGTATCAGTGAGGTGTAAAACGTCGAGATTTGTAAAAATCTCGATTTTTTTTTTTTGCACGATTACAATACTTTCTCTATACTACGTATATACGAGAAAGTAAAAATTAGCCAGATCTGAGTTTCGAGGGTAGTTTGTAGTGCGCTAATTTAGTTATGCCTGTTTTTTATGATATATCTTTGTAATAGTCTCTGTTACGATATGTTACAATAAGGTCATACAAATGATACGCAATAGCATTAGCAATTATCAGAAACGTTTATTGTACACATTGGAATACGACAGGTATTTCGTTGACGAGTTGATTGTATAATGAATAAACCGGGAGTGATCTCCCCTAAACTTTCTCGAATATTCTAATATAACACTACGGGGGATGGCAACTCGGGATATAGACTTCTAGACATGATTTTTAATCCATTTTAAATACTCAAATTTTTAAAAATAGAATATAATCTCGTAGAAAAAAGAAATGCACACCAAGTGAACGCTAAATAAAGATGTGCATAATAGTGCGCAATATTATTAGTACTTTATAAATTTACATGCATTTTTGAGAAATCGGAAGTAGCGTAAATAAGTACTTCCGATAAACGGAAATGACTCAAAATTTGACAGAAGGTAGAGAATTAGATCTTCTACTTACATATCAATTTTCATTTATCTATCTGAAATAGAACTCAAGTTATAGGCTTTTGAAAAATTCAAAGTAGAAAAAGTACCACTTCCGGTTATCGGAAATCGCTCAAAAGTTTATACGGATCTACGATTTTGATAAAATACTTATATATGAAATTTCATCAACCTAGCTGTAACGGTACTCAAGTTATCGTGTTTACACACGGACACACACACGGACAGAATTGGATAATCCAGTTTTTCCAACTCAATTACGCATAAAACGCCAAAATTTTTATATATCTGAGTTTATAAATTTTGCCCGATTAAAATAAGTCTTCTATATCCCGGATGTGATGAAGGACTGAGGAGTAAAACGGTGAAAACTGTCCAAATTTAATGTGATTTTTGTGCACGATTACAAGACTTTCTCTATACTTCGTATATACGAGAAAGTAAATAAACCGGGAGTGATCTCCCCTAAACTTTCTCGAATAGTTTTATATAAATAAACAGGGGATGGGAACTCGGGCTATAGACATGATTTTTAATCCATTTTAAATACTTAAAGTTTTAAAAATAGAATAAAATCTCGTAGACAAAAGAATTGCACACCAAGTGAACGCTAAATAAAAAAGTGCATAATAGTGCGCAATATTATTAGTACTTTAAAAATTGACATTAGTTATTTGAGAAATCGGATGTAGCGTAAATTACTACTTCCGTTCAACGGAAATGACTCAAAATTTAACAGAAGGTAGAGAATTAGATCTTTTACTTACATGTGAAATTTCGTTTATCTATCTGAAATAGTACTCAAGTTATAGGCTTTTGAAAATTTCAAAGTAGGAAAAGTACCACTTCCGGTTATCGGACATCGCTCAAAAGTTGATACGGATCTACGATTTTGATAAAATACTTATATATGAAATTTCATCAACCTAGCTGTAACGGTACTCAAGTCATCGTGTTTACACACACACACACACACACAGACACACAGACATACGGACAGAATTGCAAAGTCCAGTTTTTCAGACTGGATTACGCATAAAACCGCTTAATTTTGATAAATCTGGATTGATAATTTTTGCCCGATTAAAATAAGTCCTCTATACTTCGGATGTGATGAAGGACTGAGGTGTAATACGGTGAAAATTGTTAAAATTTCAAGTGATTTTTGTGCACCATTACAATACTTTCTCTATACTTCGTATATACGAGAAAGTAAAAAAGTTAGAGGAAACAAAGTGGAATCCAACGGACACAACAGCTCGAAGTCTCAGATTTCGCAGATGTGCGCTGCCTTCTCGCCATAGTCAACAACAAATGCAGAATAAATTGTACTCGTTAAAGAAGCAGTAATAACCGGTTTAATGATAGCGACATGACCGCCTTATGGGCGGAACTACAATCAGTGTTTCTTCCAGACTTTTTCTCCGGGGGGGGGGGGGGGGGGGCACTTGAAATTTTCGAGGGGGGGGGGGGTAAACTTTCTTCGGGGGGGGGGGGGGGCGGACACTGTTAAAAGTATATATTTTCTATATAAATTATATAAATTTCATTTCGTTCTGGGGGGGGGGGGGGGGGCGGTAAAAATTTTTCGTAATTCCCCCGAAGAGATGCCTGGAAGAAACTCTGACTACATTGCCAGACTCCGCCGTCAGGTCGTTGAGGGGGACTAAAGCCGACCATAATTAATTTTTTTATGATTAAAAAAAATAATTTTGATCCATTTTTGACTTGATGGTTGTTTTGTAAAAAGAATACTGTAGCTGCAGGTTGGATTATCTTTATTTTATAGACACCACCCCACCAGAGTTTCTTCCAGGCATCTCTTCGGGGGGGCGAAGCCCCCCCCCCCCCCCCCCCCGAAAATTTTTTACCGCCCCCCCCGAACGAAATGAAATTTATATAATTTATATAGAAAATATATACTTTTAACAGTGTCCGCCCCCCCGAAGAAAGTTTACCGCCCCCCCCGAAGATTTCAAGTGCCCCCCCCCCCCCCCCGGAGAAAAAAGTCTGGAAGAAACACTGCACCCCACGCTCTTTTATATTCATTTTCCCTTTGTTTTTATACAATAGTGAAAGCCGAGTCCTCTTTCTCCTACAATCAAACACACGCTGTTGTCGGCAAAATTCTTTTGAAACAAAAAGTCAGTCCATTGCGCGAGAGGCCGATATATATTAAGACGACTTTTGATTCTTTATCGCGTTGGTTAGGGGCCCCTAATCCATTGTGATTTTACAATGTAAAATGTGCGTTTGTTGTATTGGTAGAACTACTATTCTGTACTATCCTGCATTCTACAAATAAACAAAAAGAATATAAGAACAATAATTTCGGTGTTATATACGTTTACTTCTTTTTGTTTTACAAAAAAATATGTGACAGTAAACTTGTATAATTTGAATTCGCTCCCTTGAGTAATTTACAACAGGCTTCAGGAATATGTAGTTGAGACCATCCCAACTTCGGTACTGATGGATTATAGAAGCACATCGACGCTTTGTTTGCCCTTTTAAGTTCCTTTCTTAGCCTCACAAGTAGCGAATAGATAAATGAATCGTTTGCGAACATCCAAATCCTATACTGTACATTTTCCACTTCTCACATTTTATCAGACACTAGACTGTGGATATTACTTTAAAAGCATAGTATTAATTAGTTTGATGAATCTTATTCATCAAACAAACAAGGTAAGACTATTTTTTTTATATTATTAGTACATGAATTAATTGAACATTTATAAAAAATGAATAAATGACGACATTTAGGGGTGAGGGTCTGGTCTTTTGTGAGTCGTCAAAAAAAGCGCATGTCGTCATTTATGAATGTCCCTTAAATCAGAAATTTAAGGCTTTCCTCCGCGTGAGCTGGGCACATACAGTTGTACATGTGACCATCGTGTGTCTGTCTTTTATACAGTACTAAACCCTTCAAACTAACGCCCCAACAACCATCAAGTCAAAAATGCAAGAACATTATTTTATTTAACTATTTTAAAAAAAATTGATTATGGTCGGCTGTGGGCCCCCTAAACGCCCCCCCCCCCCACCCTCAATTCAGAGTCTCGCGGCATTGTAGTTCCGCCCCCGGTCCTAATGCCTGTAACAGTCGCCTAGTCTCAGGTATATATTTTAGCCAGATGCCTAGTGTTTCTTCGAAACACCAAATGAAATAGAATTTATATAGAAAATAGGCCAGTCTCCGCCCCCCCTCCCCCATCAGGAAAAATTTAGTCCGCCTCCCCCCCCCCCAAGCAGTGTTTCTTCCAGACTTTTTTCTCCGGGGGGCACTTGAAATTTTCGGGGGGCGGTAGACTTTCTTCGGGGGGGGGGGGGGGGGCGGACACTGTTAAAAGTATATATTTTCTATATAAATTATACAAATTTCATTTCGGGGGGGAGGGGGCGGTAAAAAAATTTCGGGGGGCTGGAAGAAACTCTGTCAGGGATAACGCCGCAGTTCGATGCTAAGAGATTCAAGATGCCCAGAAACCTGCTCTTTCAAATTTGTATTTACCTCACAGTCATACTCACCAAACATAGCAATATTTACAAGATTTATTTTTCTTCGCCAATTTTGAAGCTTTGATAATCATGAAAAGAGATAATAGCGTAGCCAGCGTACTGTAATGTAGAAAAGCATAACCTCGTGATCTTTATTCATATCTTTGCATAGTTCTTTAAACAGACGGGTGTTGTTAGAAAACAGTGATCTTTATTCATATCTTTGCATAGTTCTTTAAACAGACGGGTGTTGTTAGAAAACAAGCTGCAAGCGCCTCCTTACAGTCCCCTCTCTTTCTCTCTATCACTATCACTACCACCCCACCCCCACATTGTCTGGTGAGCTGTGGTCACGCTAAATGTTTACAAAGCTAAATGTTTACAAATCGTAGAGCCGTAGAGCCGGGTTTCTATTAGGGGCAGATAATTTAGTTCGATTTTAAACTTACAGGAGGTAACTAAGAAATAACTTAGAGGAGGCTGCTTTAACGGGGGGGGGGGGGGGGGGGTGTAGGGTCGGGGTTAGGGGTAAGGGGGGGGGGGGGGTTAGTGTTTTAAAGCAAATATTTTCAGTGGCAGCATTGGTACTGTCGAATTCACAAATTATGAATTACTGAAAAGTAGAAAATAAAACAACTAAATAGCGGCGTATGATACGCCGCGGGTCGGCTCGTTTAATATAATTTACGACTTTCATTAGCGTTAGCAATGGAGTCGAAAGAGTCTTGCTGGCGAGGGCATACCGGTAAAGCATGCAGTAGATTCCCCTTGGTTAGGGAGCTAAATCGTTTACTGTTTTCTGATAGCCCGATCTTGACCCAAAAAATAGATGGCGCACCATCTGTACAAACCCCACAGCTGTTTTCCGATTTTTATTCATCCAGTTTAAAAAAAACGTATTTAGTTTCTCCGTGACATCTTCACATAATAGCAACTCTTCTTTTTCTTCTTTACTATCATCTGAATGAATATATTTCACAAGACAAGCAACTGCGAACACGAATTTACGGCTATTGATTCATCAACTTGAAAAGCAAGAAATGGTGAAAGCTTGATTTAATTTAAAATGTATCCTTTATCACCGACAGACATGTCTGCTATAAGCCGCTGAATATAATTATTAGACAGAAATGTCTGTTGCATCTTTGCTGCACTGAAATCCCCAAAAATTAATTTCACCATCTTCAACATTGAGGGTTTGATGAGATTTTCTCCTATTGTGTGTGGGTTTTTTTATTGGCTTTTTTAAAGAAGACTTCATATGATGCTTGAACTAATGCTGTGTGACAACTTACTGTTCGATCAAGTATCTGACGTTTGCAACTAACTTCATGCAGACGAGAGAACTCACTAACTTTTTGGTGTGTTCCGAATAACTCTTCTCATAATTAGTTTTAGTTTTGAAGGTATGAGACTCGATGATCATTGATGAGAACAATTTTGCACAGAACGTAGTTTCTTTTCTATTCCATTTCCCGTGATGTTAGTAAGGCCGAATTTCAGATATTCTTCTAATTAATTAATAATCATGTTTTTTTTTTCATTGCTAAGGTTTTGCCTACCAGTTCACAACCCCCAGGTTGGGAACCCGTGGCTTAGAGTAAAACTTTGCCAATACTACAGCAGGAAGTGAGATAGCAGGGCACTCGCACATCAGCTTATCTACATCTTCCAAACGCATCTTGTAAAGATGAACATTTTTATGTGGATTGTGTTTAAAAACTATAAGTCATTATACAGAGTGGGGGCGGGAGAAACAGGCGTAGTTTAGTACCCAAACAATAGCCGGTTTATTTATAACATCTACATTTTAAGGCAAACACAATGAGTAAAACAGAATATTACAAACTTTTTCTTTTAATGATTTTTATGCAGGATATATATTTTATTCCAGAAAAATTGCATTCATATAACAGTTAATAATAACTTTATTTTTTAATGTATGTTTAATTCATACAAATTTTATATTACCAACAATAAATACAAAAGCTATTTTACAGTAATTTAAGATTTCCTTCTTGTGAACCAGCTGGTGTTTGGAAGACTAGACAAGCTCTACAAATCCAGCAACAGTTCATGTCTTCATATATCAGTTGTTTCAGAACCATTGAATCACATGGACAAATATAACATTGTGTAAATAAAACAATATTAAGGATTTATTTTTACCATTCCCAATCATCAAGCTCACAATCTCAGACAAAATCAAATGTTTCTACAGGTAAAATTATAGTCTCCATAACAAGGACAATTCTATCACATAATATTTGATAGAACAAATCAGGCGTTAAGTGTAGCACATCTGGTATAATGGGAGAGATTTTATTCATTTCTCATTTGGTGTGGTGTGTTTACCGGTGCCAAAAAATAATTTGCCAGATAAAATTACTTTATATCTGTCACTTTAAAAAGATGAAATACAAATAAATGTTTGCATGGTATTTTAAATATCATGTTATGTAGTAATGGACATGATTTCTTATCAGTTCTATAATTACACATGGTAAAGGGCATTCATGAGCCACCCTGCCTACAAAGGAATATGTTACAGCGGGTATACAAAGACCACCAGGTATTCTCAAGATAGGACCTGAGACAGGACATACCTAGGTCTTACACCGGACAATCCCAGGCTAGCCACCTCTAACAGACCCCTAAAAGATAACTCACTGGCATCAGTTACTTAAGACACAGCAAAAATTAACATATATGCCCTTCATGGATAATTAATGAATACATAGCACTTAAAACAGTGCATTAAAGAATTTCCAAGTTAAAAAAAAAACAAAACTCAGCATCACACATAAACTTAGGGATGGCAAACATAAATACTTTCCTAGTCCTATATTCGTAAAACATCAGGGTGTAAAACCAAAAAGGAAGGGTAAGCTACAACAACACAGTAATTTTAACTAACCTCATTATTAAATGTGTGCTACAGCAATCAAACAACAAATTAACCCAGCTAGAAACTTGTTGCTCAAATAAACAACCTTGAGTAATCACACCTACATTTAGGTGAAAAATAATGAATGGCCGCCTTGATTTATGGCACAAAGTTCTGAGGGAGACAGAGCAGTCTACCACCATGAATAAATGTTTCACTCAGATGCTAGAGCAGTCTACCACCATGAATAAATGTATCACTCAGATGCTAGAGCAGTCTACCACCATGAATAAATGTATCACTCAGATGCTAGAGCAGTCTACCACCATGAATAAATGTATCACTCAGATGCTAGAGCAGTCTACCACCATGAATAAATGTATCACTCAGATGCTAGAGCAGTCTACCACCATGAATAAATGTATCACTCAGATGCAACAAAGCTGGTCCATGCTTCACATTTCATGCTGTGGATTGTTTCTGTCTGTCAGGTTCGTTAGGTTTAGACTGATGAGAAAACTGGGCATACTCGCTCTTATCTTTTAGCAGTGTGTGGACTTCTTTTTCAATTTCATCATCTTCATCATCACTCAGCATTGCACTGTCATGGGCTGGCTTTTCAACAACCTCAGAGAAAATGGCTTGAAATTCTTTTCCTAGTAAAAAACATACTTCTTTATCAACATAAAACCTAAAAAATCTGATTTTAGTGTTTAAATAACTATAACTTCATCTATTTGTTTAAAAATAGCAGCAGTTTAACAAGTTTAAAATAAATAAGCTTGAGCAACCATTAAATGATTTAAAATTTGGAACACACAGATATTCTAATTGTATATTTTCAAAGCCATAGTTTTTTTAGGCATATACATTTCACAGGGCCTGATTTAAAATTTAGACAACTCACCAGTGGCTGGATCTTTCAGATATTCTAAATGGACATTTTCAAAGCCATAGTTTTCAAGACAGACCATGTATTTCACAGGGTCGGGGTGTCCATGCTTCATAAAACCACGTTGCTGAAAGGTTCAAATAAGCCAAGCTAAATATTTTCAATAAAAAAACAAATTTTTTTTTTTAAAAACAACACAACAAAAATGATTTATAAACAAGAAAACTATTAACATTATACTTAAGCATGGAAACACAACCATATAGCTTTTGTGAAGTCAAGAGACTTATGAATATAATTTAAGGTTATTACCAAAAACAAATGTGGAGCATAACCCAACATACCTGAGCTAATCGCAGTTTATCAATATTCAATGTTGTAACCATTATCCCCCCTGGTTTCATAACACGATAAATTTCTCTCATCACAGATCTCATTGAAGGCCAAAAATAGTAGCAATTTGTGTGAAATACTCGATGAATAGAGTCTGTGTTGAGGGGAATGTGTGTTGCACTGCCATGGAAGAGCAAAACTTTTTGCTCTTTAATTGCTTTATCAAGCTTTTTACTAGCTGTCTCTAGCATGTAAAATGATGTGTCAATGCCATACACTTTTCCTTTACCATCTGTCAAATACAGTGCATAGATACAGTATTAGAAACCACTCTCAAGTTAGAAATAAACTTCTGCTTTAATAAACCAACAGCATAGATTAAGTAATTGGAGGGTAAAAAAACCAACTGATGCTCTGTTTACTTCTCTAATTACTTAAAAGCATCACACCTATTGTAAATGTATTTAATGTAAAAATAACCGTATATTAAAAGTCTCGATTCTATTGCAGTATATAAATAGCTTGACTGCTGTGCCGAAAGTTTCAAGTTAAAATCATGGACTTGAGTCCACCCAACCCTGGTTGGGTACCTGATTCACATTAGGAAAGGTTAAGGTGGCTGGACCACACTATCTCTACATATGCTATGGTTAAAAAAGATGAGTTCTATTTCATTTGCTATATGGACCATCAGGCCTGAAAGGTGAACTTAACTTTATATAAAAGGGATGTGTAAAGGCTATTTACTTTTGACAATGTTGTAAGCAGATTGTAGTCCAAGGCCAGGTCCAAACCCAATCTCTAGGACATTGTGGTCTGGTTTAATGTCACATAGCCTCACAGCATTCTCCTCTAAGAATTTATTGCGCTGCACGAAGTACTTCTGTGAATTATACAATGCTAGTAAAATAGTGCAATAGAAGAAAAGCATACACAAATGTGGAAAAAATAAAATTGATTGTTAATAAAAAGAAGTTACAAAACAACTTACTGAAACAAACCATCCAAATATTCCTTTTTGTGGAAGACGAAAGTTTCTAGCTACACTATTGGAAAGCCAACTGTTTACTTTACCTGCCATCTGAGAGTTCAAAATAAATAAGAACAATTTAAAAAGTCAATAATCTAGAAGTAGGCTTTTAAAAAATTGAAATTAGAAATCTAAAGTAATGCAAATACAGTTATCTCAACAACTGTTCAAGTATCTTAATATTAATCTTTGTGGTTTCATGAAATGTAATTATAATTTTTTTAAATTAAAAATTGCACTCTGAAGAACAGCAATTTGCTCAACTTAACATTTAAAAAGTAAGTCTTCAGAATGGTATTCAAGAAAGAAGAGAAAGTCTTACATGTTTATAAATATAAAAAAATAAATCCATGGAAATGGAAAAAATTGGTGTAACCAGTATCAGACTATAGTCTAATATTGGAAGCTTCTGAAAAGAGGTGTCCTAGGTTGTTAGTAGAATTGTAAGGTGTTAGTAGAATTGTAAGGTATGGATACCAGTGTCCATGTCACAATAATGGAATTGGTAATAAGTCAAATGTATATCCTACAAATGACACGCAGTAGATAGTGTCTTAGATTTTTTATTGTTGACATTTAAGTTTACTAGTCTTATAGCTAAATCTACAGATCTAGCAAGTTAATTTAAGTTTTTGGCTGTTTTTTTTGTTAACACTTTACCAGACCTACAAGTTAGCACATTGTAAAATATATATATAGACTAAAAAGTAGACTTTAGTCAGATAAGTGACTAGTAATGTTAACAGCTTAAAGTTTTAAGTATAGTCATTGTACTTTAATTCTAGTCTAGTAGTCTATTAGAAGATAGAGTTGGTAAACTCTTGTCTGAGAAGTAAATTTAGAATGTAGGGAGTATAGGTATTACTAATGCCGACAAAAAGACTCTTCCAATAAATTTTTGGAAGAGTCTATTTGTCTGCCTTAGTTGGTTAGAAGTATTGTAATCTCAGGTTTAGTAACCTTTAATGTCAGAAATTAGGGTAAGCACTATAGCCAGCCTTGGGTTACGGTGGTATGTGTCATACCAGTGATTAATATTGCCATAATGATAGATTCTGTGAGGTTACTGGTACTTCACTAAATACTATGAGTTGCTAATGTCAATGCTAACCCTATCCCTAACCTGTTATACCATGGTGAGCAGAAAAAAACCCCACAGAAATTAGTCACTGTTTTTGCTAGAAAAAAGTCATAACAGAAAAGTCACAAAAAAGTCTTTTATAAATGTGGATGGTGTTTTTAGTTTTTAGTAACATTTATAACCATTAACGGCATTTGAGGTTTTAATGACAGCCTTTGGCAATCTTGGCGTTTTCTTTTGAAAACATGATTAGGCCTAAACAAAATGAAAAGGTTAAATTCTATTAAAATATAGGCCTACATAAAACCGAATTAAAACCTACATACTTCAGACTAATTATTTTTACACTAGCCGATCTGCAACGTAGCATATGCTGCTATTTAGTTGTTTTATTTTCTACTTTTCAGTAATTCATACTTTGTGAATCAACACTATCAATGTTGTGACTTTAGTGAAGGAAAATAACCCACTCCCACTGTTGGAAGCGGTGAATAAAATATGCTAAAATGGAGTTTTACCCTATAGAGTCCTTTCATATGACGTCACGTCCGTTCGTGATACCTACGCCCGCCGCCACAGTGGTGTACACAAGACGTAAACACAATCAGCTGTTCGCCAGCGCTGGACGTGATCACCAGCGCTGGACGCGTTCACTGTATGTAAAGAACCGCACCCGCGGAAAAGGAAAAATACGTTAAAAAACTTGAACTCTTAGGAATTGAAGATCCTTATACTGTTATTGACAGTTTCGTATAAATAAATATGTGGACAAAATTTCTAAATAAAAATACTGTTAGTAATACTGTTTGCGTTTAGAGTTAAACTTAAGTAGCCGAATCTGATCAAATGCAGTTCTCGATACTTTGTTTCATGTAAGGACAGTAAAATAATAAACTTCATTTTAATTATAAAAGATAACTATTAATAAAACAAATATGCTCGACCTTCACAAATACTAATAGTAAAAGACAAAGTCAAAAGTAATATTATAGGCTAATAAGAATAACAAGATCTAATAGTAGGCTTATACCTGGCTCCGCTGGGTAGACATAGAATCTAGAATCTACTTCTTTACTTAAATTTAATTACTTTAGATCTACATTCGATTCAAAATACACCCATAATAAATCAAAAGTAGTCATAATAGGCCTAATAAAGCATTTAATTGTCTCTAAGTAAGATCTAAAATCTCGCTCTATTATCTAATCATTTTTTTAGCAAACGAAATTTTCTGAAATTGAAATAGATTATATGACTAGACTTAGATCTAGAATCTGCTACTTAAATTAAATTTTAAAAACTTTATACAAGCATGTAGTTGATATTATTGTAGTAGAAGGCTTTAATAAATTACTAAGGCCTACCTACTTTGTTGTCTTTTTACAGCAATATGTATCTGATACTGGACTGAGTTTAATTAAATTCAAATTCATATCTAGTAATTGGTCTACTAAGTTTTTGTAGCCTAGTAGTACAATCTAGATCATACCAGCCAACAACAAATAACCACATTATTATTATTAGGTTAATGATTAGGCTAATTTTTTTTTTAAATCCACTGTTTATAAAAGAAACAAATAAAGCTAGAAACATTATAAGTGAGATGGTTTAGAATAATAACAATGGACCCAGTCTACAATTGATACAATTGCAGGTCTACATAGGGCCTACAGTCTAGTAGTTTACAGTAGGCACCTAGTGTGTAGCTAGTATACTAGTGTGTAGCTGTCCAAGGTTAAGATTCTTAATGCCTTAATGCTTTCCCCTGATAAGCCGTGTGTGCTATAAATGACATAACATGACACCGAGTTGAGAAGTGTTGAGGGGAGAGCAGTGGGACTTTCCCCTTTGTTCTCCCTGCTGGGCCCTGAGGGTCAAAATTATATAAGAAATACTATCTCTGTGGGGCTGGGTATCACGGAGGTGAGACATTTTCAGGGGAGGGCAGGGCAGACTCCTCTTTGGTTTTATTGTGGGCTAGATACAGGTGGGGGCAGCCATCATGACGGTTGAACGTCAGTATTAATGTGTCTGATTACTTCCCTGCTGGATTATAAGGGTCTTAAATTGTATAACATGCTACCCAGATTGGTTATTACCCATGGATTATATTAGCCGTTGTAGTGTGGGTTTTGTAGGAGTTAAGTGGTCTCACGTTTGCTACAGTAGATAACCTCTAATATATTACTGCGTTTGATCAGCTTCGTCTACTTAAACTCTAAACGCAAACGGTATTACTAACAGTATTTTTATTTAGAAATTTCGGCCACATATTTATATTATCCACGAAACTGTCAATAACTGTATAAGGATCTTCAATTCCTAAGAGTTCAAGTTTTTTAACATATTTTTCCTTTTCCGCGGGCGCGATTCTTTACATACGGTGAACACGTCCAGCGCTGGTGAACACGTCCAGCGCTGGCGAACAGCTGATTGTGTTTACGTCTGATGTACACCACTGTGGCGGCGGGCGTAGGTATCACGTGATTTAGGTCACGTGTTTGCAAGGACTCTATTAACTTAATTATAAATTATTAATAGTAGATCTAGTACCAAGACTCCAGATCGCAAAATGACTTAGACTCTAGAAAGAAGTGTTTTGGTGTTTGTTAGTAATGTTATGTTAGTGTGAAGTAGGCCCTGCTGGTGAGAACGCATGAGAGATTCTCTCAGGAAAGGACCGCTTCCGCAGGTGATTGATTAGATTTATAGATTAGGCCTACACACCTCAATTAATCATTCTCAGATGTAAACTAAATCCAATAAAGGGTTTTACAGGTCTAGATCTAGTACTAGATCTATAATCTATAGATACTTTGATAAATTGGTAGATTACACTTTGACTTTACACACTCACTAGCCTATAACAACATGCTATCTAAATCCACTCCATTTAAAAACATAAAGGCTAAGCTTACTTCCTATGACCTTGACCTTTCATTGAACTTTGATGTGTATCAATCTTTTATAATAACGTTACTTTTTAGTTTTTATTCAAATTTTCAATATTATTTTTAGAAAGAAAATATGTTTTAAGCAAATATTTTAAAATATTCAATCATACGTATAAAATATTATGTGAAACTTGTCGCTTCCCCGGATGTAATATGGCGTCGAACCAGACGAACGCAGACACATAAAGTTGAATGAAATTTCTCATTACCCAACCCAAATAGCTTCCTTTGCATTGCACTTTGCTATTGTTCTATAGCATTGATGGTAATGCATGCAAGGAAACAGCCCAGACTAAATGATGGGTAAAATCCTTTGCATACATTGAGATAAAAGTGTCTGTAATGGCAATGGCCGCCATATTTGTTGTGTTTTGAAAATGTTTTGCTTGTATTTGTTGTTTTCTTATAATTTCAGTTCGTTTCAGGTCACCTAACATATGTTAACAGTTTTACAGCTGAAGAAAGAACAAATCATTGAATTGTAATTAATATCCTTCATCTACGTTTTTTCATTTAGCAACAGATTTTACCCATTGGCCTGGGTTTTTTTATTTTTTTTTTTAAATTTTTGATCAGAATTTAACTGTAAAAAAAAGAATCAAGGGATCTAGATATAGATCTAGAAATCTAGATCTAGATCTAGAATGATGATTTTTAAAATCTAGATTTATTCTAAATCTAGATTCTAGATCTAGATCTATGCTAAAACTAACACTTTTACTACTGTAACTAGATCTAGTACTCTACCCTAGACTCTAGAGTCACTCTAGACTATGTTTAGAATGTAGCTTAGGCCTAATGATTTTAATTTTATAATTTAATTAAAGCCAGTCTAGTGATAGATATAGTACAATTAGTAGTTAGGCTAGATTCTAGATCTAGGCCTACATCATAATACTAGATATACTCATGTCATATCTTGGCTTACACTGACTAAAGCCAAAAGTAACACATTTCTGAAAATCAATTAAAATTGTTTGTGGTTTTACACCATCTTATGCCATTTACTTTAAGACAACTGCTAGACCTAAATCAAGATTATATTCCTGTTAACAGCCATACAAAACTTTGTAACTTTAAATAAAACGAACATAACTTAACCATTAAATAACAAAATCTTTAGGCCTATACAGTTGTACATCTAGATGGCATAAAGTATAAAGCTATAAAAGATACACACCAAACTTCATTATTAACAGTTTTTAACCAGTTAAAAAAACAATAAAAAGTAAGGAACTGCCTACTATATAAGAACAATGCAGTAGTGTTTTTTTAGATTACTGGAAGAGGCAGTGTAAGCACAAGGAATAAAGTAGTATAGTATACTGACTAAAACTAGCTTTGATGGAACCCCCACAGTGACATTAATATTACCTCTCAATAAATAATGCAAATATTGCAAACCTGTTTTCTCCTTTAAAAATAGGAATGTTGACTTGTTTGTTTTTAATATTTTTTGCTGTATTCTACTTTGATAACAATGATCTAGTTATAATTTTACTGTGTAAATTCCCCTATTTTTCCCTATTGAGTAATGTTCAATAGAAATTAAATTTTTTTGCATAATTTTTTTTCTTTTTTTTCAAAATTTAGGTATGCTGACAGAAAAGACGCCCATCTGCATAAGGTAATAAAAGTTATATTTAAGATTATATTAAATGATAAATTAGATTTATGTTAATAATGTAATAAAACTTAAATATTTTAAGAAAGTCTATTATATTTATGTTTACCTTTGTATAATGTTTAATAGGACATGCAGTACAATAGCAGTTTATTTGCCGATGACAGCGATGACGATGGACCACTTAGCAGCCGTATTAGTCCCCGCAATCAGAACAAGTCCTCTTATACTGAGAGAAATAAAGAAAAAAGAGGTGTGTAAATTTCATAATTAGTTTAGTTTATATCTATCTCCAGATGTTCCTACTATATTTTATATTTCCTAGTTTTAATACATGACAGAGCTCATTTATATATATATATATATATTTTTTTTTTTACTGCTTTTAGGCTCCCTTAGCCTTGCAGAGAAGAAAGTCAGCCACTATCTTGCCACAGGCAGCTTGGGCCGGCCAATCCCCATGGAAACTAGCTTTGCCTTTAGTGGAGAACCCAGCAGTGGTGTTCCAGACACAAGTCGACCAACAGCATCAGCAGGTCAAAGAGCAGGTGCTCAGAGTGACAGGGGGATTAAAGAATACAACAACTATCAAGGTTCAAAGACAGAATATAAAGGTTCCACACCTTCATCCTCCTCTCAGCACCAAGAACACAGAATCAGTTCCAAGCAGTATCCTGGTGGAGAATTCAATAGCCACACAGAGAAAGCATTGTCCTCAGTGTCCAACAATGGGAAACAAAGCATATCCTCTAGCAAGGAGCATGGCAAGGACAAGGAGGTTAGTTGTCTTATCTTTTCTAATATTTTTCATTAATTAAAAGATATGTTTTAGTTTATTAACCATTGCTATTTTTATGTAATGAAGTGTGGAATACATGAATTTTTAATTAAATATTCTAGATCCCTTGTTTTTCTTTCAATAATTTGAAGTTTTGAGAATGATTATTGGTTTATTGAAAGTTCAAATCAAATAATATATACTTTTAGATTATGAAATACTTTAAATATAAAATAAAAATGCGGTTAAAGTATATTTTTACTCAAGGAATCCAGGTTTTTATTCCTTGAGTTAATCAGGTCTTTTGGGTTGCACACCATCTTAATCTGTTTAATATCAAGTTTTATAACATGTGTTTTAATGGGCAGAATGTTTAACAAAATATCTAGCAAATTAAGTACCCTTTCAAACCTTACTGTCCATTGGGCAGGTGAAGTAGAGTTCATCTTTCTCATTGACTTTAGCATATGGTGGGGCATTGTGGTCAGCACTATGTCCAAAATGTTTTGTGTTTCATTTAAAAGATGTGTATTGTTTATGTGGCATTTATATTTTTCTGTTCAGCAAGTTCAGAAGTCGGCCATTAGAGTATGTGGTGACTGGTCAGAACACATCAGTAGCTCTGGAAAGCGCTACTACTATAACTGCAAAACAGAGGTTTCACAGTGGGAGAAACCTAATGAGTGGATCAGTCAAATGTAAGCATTGTCAATAAAATATTCTATTGTATATGTAACTATTATGTATGCATTTTGTACATGTACTTGTTTGCATAGTTTAAAATTATTTTATATACTGTAGGTGCAAGACACCAGACCATAGATCTAAAGATGGACGGCCAAAATTGCTTTCTCAATCAAATGCAAACAAAAGTAAGTGTTAAAATATAGTTCATATCAGTAAATTTATGTAATTATAGTCAAAACAGCTGATATATTATGAACACTATATACATTAATAATTTTCTTTTCAGTCAGTGCTGAAAATCGAGCCTCTCGACATTCCAGTTCTAGTGAGCACCAGCCACTTGAGCAAGCCCGTGCACAACGCAATAACAGTGGAGACAATGCTTCCGAGTCTCAGCATGGCAGGGAAACCCCATTGTCAAATACACACCAGCACTTCAGAGACAATAGAGAATTTAGAGACAGTCAACATTTGTCCAGAGAGAATAGTCGAGATAGCAGCGGTCGGGACATTAGAGAAATGCACAAATCAAGTGCAGAGAGGACTCGTTCGGGAGACTCTACAACAAGCAATTCATACCATCAACACAATCAGTTGGTACCTCAAAAATCGGGTTCCACGCCTGGTGGGAACAATGGTATACCAGATTTGCAGCATACAGACAGCAAACGTTCACAGCATGAGAGTCATTTCTCATCCTCTCATGGGGATTACAAAAGGTCTTGTAATGAATTATCACGAAGAAGACGTACGGATAGCCAAGGTTCTCAAAGATATCATGGTTTGTACATTTTAATTTTTGCTTTGACTTTCAAGTACCTGTAAGGTTTTACTCTCATTAGTTTGATACTCTTTCAAATGAAATCTATTGTAGATTAAACAACAGTTCTAGTAAGTAGTATTTGTTTTTATTTTGATTCAAGATGTTTATTTTACAGTTTCTAGTAAGCACATTTTTATAAATCTTTAATTATTTATTTCACTCTTTATTACATTAGTTTAGAACTAGGCATGCTGCCCAGCTTCGCTTAGGCTTTCGAAAACATTGAGAATTTGAATGCTTAATTAATTCGCCCGAGGGTCGGTCTACGACCTCAAGAGTTATGAAGAGGTTCCTCCGTGGACATTTTTTTAAAATTTATAGCTCATATAAGGTACCGGTCAGTCGATGTCAGTTTTGACCCCCTCATCGTAGACTTTTCGGCCAACCGGCCCCCGTGTTCTGTCGCCCCAAGGCAAGGTCCTGCCAAATTTGAAGCGCCTGCGGCGCCGGGAAGTGCCGGACACCCGACAATCTAGATCTAGATCTAGATTCCTAAAAGAATTTTTTTTTAAGTTTAGCCCGAGCATAATAAAAAAAAAATACATTAACCAAGTTGACTTGGTGTGTCTCGAACCCGCACCACCTGCGTGGTTTAATGTACACTAACATCTCCGCTATTTAGGCACCTTATAAAGTACGGAGAATGAAACACGTATTTTAAAATCTTAACTTACGCGAATATGCCTATTTTTCAAATTAATTTTTTTATCCCAAATTAGCCAGTTCCAAACAAAGATTTTGTATAAAATAAATAAGTCTTGAAATAGTTTAGTCCTAGTATAGAAATTTATTTTTGGAATTGATTTTAGAGAAGTTAGAGTCTAAATCAGTAAATCTAGATCTTAGCGTCTACGTCTAGATCTAGTTATTGCGTAGATTTAGATTTAGATTTAGTCTAGATCTAGAATCTCTAGATCTAGAATCCAAATACATAAAATAAATTTTATGAGTTTAGGCCGGAAAAATTGTATTGTATACATTTCATAGTGTACGTAGATCTAAATCAAATTTGAATGAAATAGTTCATTTCTTTTCATTCTAAACACGGCAGATGACGTCATTAGTTAATGTATAAGCAATAGTGACGTCACAGTTTTATGCGTTCTTTTTCACATCTATTAATGCTTTTCCGGTTGCATAAATAATACTGTTTCTCTACATTCGAATACGCCTTTAATTTTTATTTTTCTTCTTTAAATAAAATTGTGGTTATACATTTAAAACATCTAACATATTATTGTCAACAAAAGTCCGTAAAAAGTTCTCGATATACCGCTGCCGATTCTGACGTGATGTCCGGCGAAAATTTTTTGCGGACAGAGAAAGAGAGAGAGAGAGAGAAGAGCGCACATGGCCTTTTATAAATTAGGATTTTCTTATAATTAGTTTAGAATTTTCTTATAATGTGGGGAGGGAGGAGGGAAGGATTATTATCAAAAATTTTTTTACTATCCTCTACTTTTTAATTAGTTATATATAGCCATAATTTAGTTCAACTTCATATCAAAATGAATTATTTATATAGTTTGTAAGAAAGATCATTCTTAAAACCTGAGAGCAAGTTACAAAATCATTGCATTTCCTGCTGTTTTTTTTTATATTGGTTGCTTTTTTTTGTTAATTGTGGCTATTTATCTTTGTGTAGGTCTTAGGCAATTTTTAAAAAGGGTTTTTCTGTCTGATAAGGATAAAACTTTTCATAAAGTCAACCTTACCTAGCTTTTATTTTCTATGTGCCATCATAAAATGCACACAACTCATTACATTTTCCAGTACTAATAATTTCAAAAGGAAAATTCTGATTTACATGACAAAAGTTCTTAATACATTAATTTTTAAGTTGAATCACTGTTTGATAACAAAGGGGTAGTTTAGATATGCTTTGAGCCAACTTTTATATTCTAATTTTGCTAATGGGTAGCTATACTCATTAAGCTTGTTATAAACCATGTTATACCTTACATTCATACAGAAAACATAATTCATCATTTCACACAAGGGATACATTTCTATTATTTTCTGTAGGTCTATTGCTGCAAAGTTCACATTATTTTTGTTTAGTCTACTCAGTGCATAAAGGCTGCTGCTTGAAGCTAAATGCAGTAATGTGTTAACTTATCAAATCTTAACAAGATAACTCATTAGATTTTCTGGTATTACGTGGTAAAAGTTCTTCTAGAGTCCATCCAGCGGTACCTGACTACAATAAAAAAAATAATGGTGGATGAGACCACTCTATCCCTTTATGTGCAGAGGAATAGATTAACTCAAATTCATCTGCCCTAATGACCACAAGGTCTGAAAGGGTACCACGAGATTTAGATGACAACTTTAAAGTTAAAGTAGAATATTAGTCACCATTTTTTATTAAATCTAAATTTTCTACAGTTTTTGAGATTAGAAGAAAGCAAAAAGTAGTATTTATATATATAATTCTCTAGGTGGACACCACCATGACTCCAGTCTCTCCTGCTGCCCCCTCCCTCGCTCTCCAGGCATGCGCAACAGATATCTCCCCCACGCCACCAGTCTGGTGAGCTGTGGTTAACGCCGAATGTTTACAATCATAGAGCCAGGTCGAATTAGTGACAGCTATTAGGAAAGATAATTTAGTGTTTAAACGATTTGAAGCTAAGGAGCGGTAACAAGTTCTGCTTGATCTTTTCACTGTTGTCACGGATGGCTGCTTTCATGGGGATGGGGGAAAAGGAGAGTAGTTCAAATTCATAAATTATGAATTTCTGAAAAGTAGAAAATAAAACCAAATAGCTCCACAGCGGGTCGGCTCGGATTAAAAATCTTTTTAAATCTATCGTTTTAACATTTTCATTTTTACTATATATGCATACTTTCAAAAAGCTAACCTTAATTTTTCTATTGAAAGGGCCCAGTGAGTTTTAAGTGGCCCTGTTCTCAGTATGGTCTTGCTTATATGACTCACATAAATTTTAAGATCTGGCACCACCTCACCTTCTCCTTGACCCCATTAAGCATGTGTTCTATATGTTGGATTTATTAAATCAGTAATGTTTTGAGTGCTAAAAATTATCCCATGAGCAGGAGGATTGTATGGCATGCATAATAATAGTTTGCATCTCGTAGTGCAAACTCGGATTGTCTTTGACCAGGGTTTGCTTTTAAAAAAATGGATTTAAAGCTTGAAAAAAAAACTGTCTCATAGAAGCGAAGTTTTTATGTTTTTAAAATCCCTATTTAAAAACATGGACCTGTATTATACAATTTTTATATTTTTGTTACTTGCACCCCTCTGCCATGCCATTTTAACAAATGTTAGAGAAAGAGGCTAATGAATTGTGTTTTTGACCTTGGCTTCATAGCACTAAAAAAAAAACCCACAACAACTGCGTTGTGTTTAAAACCCCTTGCTTTAGGGTATTTATAATTGCAAGCGTGCTATAAACATTTCAAGTTTAAAGCCTGATTTAAAAATGTTAAGTTAGAATTACTTAATTTGTTCACATCTTTTTATAAAACAAAATTGGTAAATATAAGGTTTAAGTAATAATGTATACACGTGTATAAAATCATCTGTCTCTCTGAGTATGTGAGCGAATAGGAGACATAGACTTCCTTTATCAAACAACTGACTTGACTTGTATTGTAATTAAATAGTTAAAGCAGATAAAAAATTAACATATTTGATTAGATATTCCACAGTGCTTAAATTTTGAGTGAGCTTTCACTCTATCTTTAAAAACTGTAATCTGCTGTCAAACATGATACTAATACTATGAGCAGTGTTTGAAAAACAGCAAACTGACAGTCAGTGAACTCTTGTCACTCAACTAAATATTTTATCATCATGCTAGATAGGTTATACCAGACTAATCCGCTTGAATAGAATAAGTTTAAAAATACTAAATTCTTTGGTAAGCTATATTTAACTTAAATTTTTAAAAATATGCAATTGCTTTGCATAACATTTTAGTGTTGATTCATATAATTACACAATTATGTTAATACTAGCCATCGGTGCCCATTTCACAAGAATTATCGGCCAATATATTTTTAATGTTCTATTTGTTAAAGAAAAATATTTTATAAAATAGTTATTATTGGTCAAAACGCAATGTGCTTTACTACACTTTGAACTATATTAGTGGCTAAGAAATACATATTGTATACATTTCATAGTGTATGTCTTGATAGGTAGACCTATAGTATAGATCTACTTCAAATTTGAATGAAATAGTTCATTTCTTCATATTCTAAAATTGGAAGATGTCGCCATTAGTAGCCATTAGTTTTGTTTACTTTCCGTAGTTTAAACATGTGACGTCCGTTTTTGGAATTCTTGTCACAAAAATAATCACTTTTCCGGTTGCATAATTAAAAATGTGTTTCTACATCGAATATGCTTTTATTTTTAAATAATATTTTGTCTATACATTTAAAACATCCAACATATTATTTTTAACAAAAGTCTGTATCTTTAAGCTCTCCATATATCGCTGAACATACTGATCACATAACTTCAAAAATGTTGCGGACAGAGAGAGAGAGAGAGAGAGAAGTGTGCACATAGGCTTTTATGCACATGGCTTTTATATATAACAAGCCGACCCGTGGCGTAACATACGCCACTATTTAGTTGTTTTATTTTCTACTTTTCAGTAATTCATAATTTGTGAATTCGACAGTATCAATGCTGCCACTGAAAATATTTGCTTTAAAACACTATCAGTAGATCGTTAAAGACGATACCCCCCCCCCCCCCCAACCATTTCCCCCAACCCCTACCCCCCCCCCCCCCCCCCCCCCAGTGAAAGTAGCCTCCTCTTAGTTACCTCCCCTAAGTTTAAAATCGTTTCAAACTAAATTATCTGCCCCTAATAGCCGTCACTAAACCTGGCTCTACGATTGTAAACATTTAGTGTGAACCACAGCTCACCAGAACATGTGGTAGGGATATGCTTAGAGAGGAAGAAAGGGGGCTGCAAGGCACGCTTACAGCTTGGTGTTTTCTAGGGTATCCAAGAAGAGAATTATATATATATAGATATGATTATAGGCCTTTAAATAAAACAAGGTTTTGTTTGATTAAGGTATTGGGCATCTGTAATTGGAGATGAGAAAGAAAGGGATAATTTGATGTTAATGGCTTTTTTCTTAATACAATTAGTACAATTTATTTTAATATGAATCATCATCTTTTCCCTTTCGTGCCTAAGACACAAAGGGAAAAATGAAGTAGAGTTAATCTGTTTCAAAGACCTTGGTATACATGGGGATAGTGTGGTCAACACTGCCCGGAGGCCTTTGTTTCCCTAAATGTGAGTCAGTTACGCATCAGAACTGGGTGGACTCAGGGCATATTACAGACTCAAGCCCATAATCTGAGCTCAAGACTTTTGGGTTAGCAGTCAAGCGCTCTACCGCTCAGCCACACTGTCCCGTTGTAAAATGAATACAGAAGATAAACTCTGTGCTTGAATTGAAGTAAATAATTTTTGTATACCTTTCCCAATTATCTCTTTTTCTGTAAAGTGAATTCAATAACTTCTGCAGATACAGGACAAGGCCCCATAGATGACATGGAAATCTCCCCTTCCCCCTCTCCATCTCCATCATCATCGTATCGTTCATCTGCTGCTGGCACGCCTCAGCTACCCCCTACAAGTACTCCCATTGCTACATCATCAACACCAGCACACAATCCAGTTAGCACACCAGGAAGTGCCCACAGGTCTTCGTCACCTCAAGGCAATCCCATACCCACATTAGTTAACAGACAGACTGTAAATGAAAGTGGAACCTATGATAAAAGTAAGTTCTTTAACTAGTGATTTCAATCTAAAATGGTACATCATTGTATTTTGTAACTTTTGAATCTGCTTCATTCCTCAAGGCAGCTTTATTATGTTGAATAACAATCAGCTAATCTTGCAAATTGCAATATTCTGAGAATTTTAAAGTTTTATTTTTAATCGACAGCTATTCAACAGACATTACAAGAATTACAAAAGGCCTTGAGTATGCATATACATAGAGCTCAGCAAAACACTACTAACACAAGTAAGTGCCCAGAAGATGAATTTTCATAACTTATACTTAAATCTCAATTTACATTGCCAAACATTTAAAACTTGACTAAGTTAATAGAAATAGTTTTGAGCTAATTGAGATTTAAGTTGTATTTTTTTACTAACTCACTATTAATTCATCAAATCTTAGTGCAGCTTCTCCTCCCTCCACCCGCCCCTAACCTTTTCAAATGCTAATTTTTTGCACAGAAAAAATACATCAATAAGTGTTACAAATATATTCTGGTTGTTTGTTGGTTATATTCCTTAAAAATATATCAGTAAGTTTAATATGTGTGAAGTTGTAACTTAGCCAGGAAAAATATCATAGTAGAAGTAGATTGTAAACATTTAGAGAAATATATTTTAATAACTGTTTGATAACACTGTTGGCATCAAGTGCATGCACTTATCAACTAAGTTTTTTTATGTCTTTAACAAACTTAGTCTATGTAAACAGGCTTTGGTGTAAATTGCCTTGTAGAGTCGGGTGTAAAACCTGTGCTATTTGTTTGTGCAGGGTCAGCTCTGGTGCAACAACAAATACGACACACCACCTGTGTTCCTTTGTCTTCTCAACAAGTAGCCCCACAACTCAACTACCCTGCAGGCCAGGGCACCCCTTTGGCACCTGGGCCCCCTATGGGGGTCCACTCCCAACTTCAGTCCTTCTCAGGGCTGCCAGCCCATGTCCAATCTTCAGGTAAATTGCTTGGGCAAACTTTGAACCAAATTCTTTAGTCTCAAAATATTTTTTACCTTGATGAAATTGTGTCTACTGAATGTGTATGCTAAATGGTCGAAAGAACTAAGTAACAGCCAAACCACACTGAAAATTTGAGTTATTACACAATTTTTACTACATTGTACAAGATGGACATGGGCATCCCCAAATTTAAAGCTTTTTTTTTGTTCAAACTGACCTGCATGGCCCTGCAAAGCTTGTTTGTAAATAAATATTTAACCCTTACTAACTATACATTGTTACATCTGTAAGAAATAAATATCTTTATAAATCTTTTAATACGTTATAGTAAATTTCCCTTATATAGTGACATCACAATGGAATTGTTTACATTAAATTAATTAAGCTTATTTTTCGCAATGCACTTTTTCTCACCTAACACATAAAACTAGTATTCAGTTCATCTGTTTTTATTTTAGGAGTGGCTGCAGGTCCACAAGGAGAAGAAATGGGTAGAACCAGCCCAGTGTCAGCTACCAGCTCTCGGAGCTCTTGGTAAATAGTTTTTCTCCTCTCTTTTATAACAGACAAATACAATACAAATTTTATAAAATATCTCCTTATTAAAAGGTTGGTATGAATTGAATAGGAACAAACAGAATATATCTGTTAATTGCACAAGTTTTTATGAATTTCAGTGGTAGCCCAACACCCAGTGACTCAAGTTCACAAAATGCAGCCATCACCTCCCAGGCATTGTCTGCAGCTGCCTTAAAGCGGGAAGAAACTGCCAAATTAACTGCATCACTTAGTAACTATTATAATGAAAAACTAATAGGACATGTACTAGGTTGGCAAGCAGACTTAGTAGAGAAACAGGTATGCAGTTTTGTTATTGTTAGAAAAGTGTATTTATTTAACTTTGTTTATTTCTAGAGTATTTTTTAAAAAACATAAATTTTTTTCTGTAAAAATGTGACAGTAATCAGGACTTAGAGGCCTATGAACAAATGTCTTATGGAATTTTGCTTCTATTAAAAATATAGTTTTTGTAATAGGACACTAATGCATCTGTTGAATATAACTTTTAACTTGTCTGTTTTTCAAGGCGGCTAAATTGTGGGAGGAGTCAATGGTTAATGGAAGCTTACAAATAAGTCATATATCTGTCCAGTTAAAGCGTGCACGCTCACAGGTCAGGATAGCTGAAATCCAATCTACATTACATGAACAAAGGTAATTAATTTTTTACTAATAGAGCTTTAACATTTTAATCTGTTTAATCATTTCCTTAAATACCAATGTAATTTTACTGAACAAAAAATAATTTTGTTTCAGAATAATGTCATCAGACCAACAGAGGCAAGAAATAGAGAATCTGAAAACTCCCTCTTCTTTTTTACCATCATGACAGCAGGCCCCTTGAATGGGTCGGGAACAAAATTTGGGGTGGGGGGTTGGGATCTTATTTAAATGCTGGGCACAGGACATAATTGAGTGTATGAGTGGTGATAGAAAGATTTCTATATTTTTTTTAAAGCTTGTATGATGAAATCAAGCATTTTAAATATGTATGTAACTTGTTGATGTGATAATGTTGAGTTTATATTTGAAATGTTTCTTCAATTTTATTTGCACAGTTGCTTTATTGGTGGACAATCTTTAAAGATATTTAACTTTTTCTTTTTTTAAAAATTACTTTCTAGGATATTTAAAAATATTTTTCACCATATGATCTTGGCTGAATCATGTAAACAGGACCATAGCTTTGTGTGCAAGAGAAAATTCTGAAGAATGTGTTCATTGTATTCCTCTATGATCATGTCTGAAGGTGTGATGGTGCAATACACATTTCTTCATTTCTTTAGGATTCTTTAAAACTCTGGTTTCAGAAGTAATTTTAATAATTTAGCTTGTGATTTAGAGTTAACTTAATAATTCCGAATTGTATTTAGATGCATTCTTTCTATTTGTAAAGATTGCAGCATTACTTTAATATAGATATGTTAGCCCCCAAAAAAGTAACAGAGGGAAAATTCTTTGAAGAAGTTTGTCACTCATTTTTCTTGAGCTCACAGCCTGTGCTTTATGTGTTGTCTGTAAAAGACGCTTCTGAAAAAAAAAGTGATTTTTATCTTTCCCACTTCATAATAGTGAATAAAATATCTTGAACCAGTTATCCATTCTTATTTCTTTATGGTGCTGTAAACTAAGATTTATTTTATTTTGAGAGTATTTTGTAAAGTATCATCTGGGACCAGTATCCATTAAGCAATCATCTAAATATAAAGTTCTGTTAGCTTTTTCCATAATGTGCGTAACCTTGGTATCGCTTTTCAGCATTAGTGTTAGGTATTTGTTTAGCTTTAAATTCTTATCTATTTTAGGAAAAAATAACTTAGAAATTCATCTACTAACCCACAATAATAGTGAAGGTTGTTTTTGAATAGGCCATTCAAAACTTCAAGTTAAAATTTAAAATAAATAGCTATGATGAGGTAATAACATTTTTTGCCTTTTTTAAATTTCAGAATCTTATATATTTGAAATTATTGTTTACTCATTTGTAGACAAATTATAGCAATAAAAATTGACTAAATTTAAAAAAATAGAAAAATTAACATTTTTTAAAATCACTTGTACATTGTTTTTATTATCAAATAACAAATACATACAACTTTAATTGTTTTAAGGATTAGCAAACTCCACATGAAGTCCCTGTGAACAGCCATTTGTACATGCCCTTGTAATTAAATGAAGTTGCCATGGATTGTGCGTTGAGTTAGCAAAAGTGTTTGTATATAGTTTATATGATTTGCCTACAAGTATAAGAAATGTTTTTTTTTGGAATTAGATTAGATTAACAATTTTTAAAAATTATACTGTAGCCTACACACTATACAACAATTAAATGTAGGTTAAATACTTTGTCATAAATCAGAACAATACTCAAAACTTTTATGATATGACAGTGTTACTATTTTCTAAACATAATGGTAGTTATTTTTTTTTCAATCAAACATTTTTTTATCTGAAGGAAGTTAAATCAGATCTGTTAGGACATAGTACAGTGCTTTTGTCACTGTTCTAGTGTTGAACCATGTTTATACCTCATTTCTCATTCACTTATTTATTCTCATTTTCACTTCAGTATCTGTGGGCTTATCTGTTGGGAGTCCACATATACAAGTGGATTGTTTTTTGTTTGTTGCTTACAATTTAAGCACTTTAACCCTGAAATAATTTGGAAAAAACATTTCTGAATTTATTTATTTGTATAAGATCATTAATTTTATATGGTACTAACTAATAGTTTTAGATATTTTAAATAGCGTAGCAGGTGTAATTTATGTTTAAAGAAACATTGCCACATTTAGACTGATCAAGTTGAACAATACGCATTAGCTACACTTTGCAGTATTGGAATTGATCAAAACAGTTGCTTAAAGGATCTCCTACTCAGTTTGTTTTCCATAATACAAGCAGCTAATGAGGAAATTAAAACATTAGTTTTTACATCAAGTGAAATGGCTGTTATTTGTTTGCTAGTATTTTAATCTATTACTTTATGAACTCTGCATGCTTGTAATGTTTGTGTATATTTTTTATATTAGCTCTGTAAATATCACATGGCCCTATTGTTAGTTTATGTTTATTATATTTCTTGAGATGACTTTAAATTCTACTTTTTTGGGGGATTGCATTCACTAAACCTACTGTAACCATCAGCTGAATACACACAGTAATGATATCACTGAAACAAGCCATGATCCAAATGTATACAGTGCATACACAGTTCTTATCCCATGTATTTAATATTGTTACTATTATAAATATTCATTTACAACTTTGTTTTTAGTCAAATTTGCTTGGCACTGTGGCCACAGAAATAAGATTGTGAATAAAATTACTTTGAACTTTTATTCTTCACTTTTTTGTGTGTGAAAAACTATTTGACACAATTATGATATGTTGTGAAGGGGAACTGATACATTGCTATTTCTTCTATTCAGTAGCAAATAAGTTTATTTATAAAGTAGAGTGAACCAAGTCTGTCATGTTGGTGAATCAAATGTTGAACTAAATAGCTCATATGAAAGAGGGGAGCAATAGTTTTTTAATTGCAGTTAATATTTATTATTTTATTAAATAGCTGAAGATTAAGAAAATCTGTAAAACCATAAGTTGATGAAAAAACATCTAGTCTGCATATTAAATCAGCTTTTTTTTTTAAAAATTGTTTAATATGCACTATCAATTAGAAAAAAAGCTTTCTGTGCCAACTTGAAAAAAACAAACATTTCAGATGTCATACATGAAGTAGCCTACGTAAGCTGAAACAACGTAAGTCTTCCATATATAGCGTCATGCACAGTGTGTTAGGAGGTACTGTAATGACGGATTCAGATATAAGACAAGTAACGCGTAAAGTTAACAGGTGGTCCCCGGCGCATTGTGGTACTTTTGCCACAGGCACTTTATATTCGAGTGAACCCTTCTTCCTGGTCACGATTGTAATGATGTGGTTTTTACAAATGTTTGGGTTTAAAAAAAATATTAGAAACACGTCATTTTTAGAGATCACTTGTTACATTTTCACATTTTCATTGCAAAATCTTTTATAGCAAAAAAGAGAATTGTGTAAGTTAGTATTGGCGCCAGTGTTTCTTCCACACTTTATTCTCCGGGAGGGGGTGGGCGGGCAGACGCGGGTAAAAGTATGTTTACTATATTATCTCGTTCGGGGGGGGGGGGGGGGGGGGCGGCGGCGATAGACTTTCTTCGTGGGGGGGGGGGGGGGGAATGCCTGGAAAAAGCACTGATTAGCCCACTCAACTTATTAATTCAACCCTTCAAACTTAGTTAAGGTAAAAAAAAAATAATTATGCACTTTAAGAAAATGGCGTTTTGAAAACATTACAGCATATCTTTTTAACTGAACATCTTAATTGTATCAATACGATGTAAAAGATTTCTATATAAGCTGTTCCTTTTTAGGAAAAAAAAAACCCACCAGTAGCATGTTGATGGAAGGAGGGGGTGTGTGGGAGGGGGAGGGAGCTTCGAGGGCTGGCATGTTGTGATGAGTTAGCCTAAAAATTTAGTAAAAATGGCTAAGATAGATGTTAATACGAAAGGATCGTAAAAATAGCCTGGTAAGCCATCGTCATTTGACGTCATTACATTACCATTAAATAAACATTATACAATCCTCTTTATACTTTGTTTAAATCAAATTAGAGCGTTGAATAAATCGTAATCAGTTGCTTTTTCTATTTGTTGTGAAAGGTCTAGATCCATTTCAAATCAAATAGTCTTTGTTGCAAATTGTTTCAAAGATAGGCGATATTGTTGTAGTTGTAGGGAGTTGGGGGGGGGGGCGAACAAAGCAAAAGCTGGGTTACGCTTTTGAAAGATGCTTAAATATAATGTTCGCTGAGGAATTCTAGTAAATGACATTTAATTAAATACGGTTTTATAAAATTTAGATATGTTTAGATTTGGCCTGATAGGCCTAGGCATTTATTATTTGGTATGAATTTTAGATGATCCTGCAGTAAACTGCTGTAAACTACTGTGTAATTTACGCGCAAATATAAAAATAAAAAGCCCAGCCTTGAAAAAGTAGTAGAATCTAGTCTAGAATCTTTAGATCTAGATTTAGATTCTAGGATCAGATCTAGAATCTAGACTAAATCTAGAATCTAGTAGGTTTCTTTTTAAAACTCACAGTTAATATTCATTACTAATTACTTGCACTGAGTGATTTTAAATTAAAATAGGTTCTAGATCTGATCTAGATCTAGTAGACTTAACTAGTAGATCTCTAGACTTAACTAGACTAGACTACTACTAGATTCTAGTTACTAGTACTAAGAAGACTAGCGGCTAGCGTTAGCTAACTTAGAGTCACAGTAGCAGTAGGTAGAGTTAGAGTGTCACTAGCACTAGACTCATCACTAGAGTCTAGACAGTGAATTAGTCTTGCTAGACTAGATCTAGACTCAGATCTCTTGGTGTTCAACTCTTGAATCTTGACTGAGTGATCTTGAGTCTGTCTTATCCAGATCTAGAATCTAGATCTAGCTAGATCTAGATCTAGTTACTAACTAGTAGGCCGTTCGGTTCAACGCTTCCGGGTTTGTCATTTTCGTCTCATCTCACGGCTCATGCGCTTACTAAAATGGCGACCAGTTTCGCTTTCACTAAATGGTAGAGGGATAAAACTAATAATTTCGAGGCCATCGTTAATTTTAGACATCGGAACTATCCGTTTCTATTTCAGTCTGTTATTTAAGAATTCCCAGATGTACTTTTGACCTAATTTCTTTGATTGTCTCGCAATAACTCTGAAATATCACTTTGCTCATAAACCAGCTTATGTTGCTCATAAACTTTAAAGCATCAATTTTACACACATTACAATTAACTGGTAATAATTTATGGGGTTAATGAGATATGTTCGTGGGAAAACGATCACCCCCAATAATGCCATTTTATTATAAATCTTGTTTAGTGAAAACGAGGCGCGGGAAAATGTGTGCTGCGCAAGAATCCAAGTATTTGGCTAGATTTATGACTTTTTTTATGTCACACCTAAAAATAGAATGTTTACGCTTTCTTCGTAGATGATCGTTTTTATTATTTTTCAAACTGAAAGTATGCATTATTAGTTAGATTGCAGATTTTGTAACTTGTTATACTTACCCTTTATCAATTTTAAAAGCATAGCATGCTGATTGTAAACATATCTAGTCATGAAACACAGAAATATAAAGTTGCAATTGCGATGTGTGCCACACCCGGGTCACACCCCCTCAAGAAAACATGTGTTTATTAAGCTGTTTATCTCACTTTACAACAGTAATAAAAATTAATTTTCAAATTTTTATCACTTATTGGGTAAGATTAAGCACATGTTTACTAAAAAATAAAAAACAAACAAAAGCAAATTCTGTTTTAATGACGGTCACAGGTCAAGTTTTTTTTCCTTCTGTCAAGTTCAGTGGAGGGTGCCACAGGCTGACCTGACTTTGGAATTTTTTTCAGTAATAATGACTGCACAGAAAGTTAAAACATGCTAAATTGGCTTAGTTTACTAGTGTGCTAGCTGTTATTGATACATTTTTAATTAAAAAATCATTCTGTAATTCTCATCAAAAAGCCTACTAACTAGTAACTACTAGGTTCTAGATCCAGAAATCTAGTAGCACTCTAGTATTCTAGACAGTCTAGTAGTGTCTAGACTAACTAGAACTCTAGATTCTAGCTAGACTCTCTGTTAGTCTTAGTCTTTACTAGCAATACCAGTATCAGTAGAGTAGACTCTAGTTAACTCTACTAGTACCACTCAGCACTATCACTATCTCGGATGATATTTAGAATTGACCCTTTGAATCCGGACAGATCGTCCCCCCGTCGTGGCCTCAATCAACCGGCGCCTCCCCCATAAATTATATTAAATAAATTTTTTATATTTATAATTCAAAATAGCAGCTAAAATGAGCTTATTTTGGCACCGTTAGGGTTGGCAGCCGGGGACATGTCACATATGTACCTCCCCCCATCTCTACGCCTCTGCTTAGTACCACTTACTCCTAACTTTTAATGATTTAGGTTTAATTATTAATTATCTACAATATATAGTACTTATTCCTAATTCTTATACTCATTCTTTACTGTACCTGTACACTGTGGTGTGCTTTGTCTATCTCTGGCATTCTTACTTAAACTCAGGGCAAAAGTTTAAAAGTCAACACTCAGACTAATTATTGACTAATAAATCTATCATCTAGTTATTTTTACATTTTGATCTATAAGTGAACCTAATTAATTATAATAATAATGTAACATTCCAAAGGAATTTAATAGTAATGCTCTACAAAGATTAAATGATTGATCACTAATACATGTGAATTCACATTGATGCTCAGACCTTGCTAATGTTTAACTTTTAATGAGTTCATGTGTGTCAATCTGCCCATCAGGTTAAAATTTTTAGTGATTTTGTTAAAAACTTATAATCTAAACAAGTAGCCTATTTTTAAATATAATCACAACTGGCCTATGGAACATGTATCGGGATATCTTACTTTTTTATTGGTTGGTTCCACTATTAATTGCTACTTACCTAAAGTGTTGGGCATAGTGCTGATCACACTATCCCTTCATATACAGTTGAACTCTACTTCACTCGCCCCATAGACTGTGAGTTTCAAAAAGGGAATTTTACTTTGTTTTTACCTAAAGAGCTAGTATCCAAATGACTATTGTGTATAACATTGATGGGTTTAGATGCCAATATACACTCCTTCATGAAGTTTTTTTTAAAAGTAGCCTTTGTGCAAAGAATAGAAATTTGCTGTTCTCCAAATTTTGTGCAAAATCAAAACCACTTAGAAAATAATTACACCTTTTAGCTTTTGTGCAATTAATAAAATGTTAACATTATTAAAAGTTATAACAGGTCTGGCTGCTACTTAAAATGGCTGTAGCTGAAGGGGCGTGTCACACACGAAGTGGAGCCCAGAGACTTCTGCAGGCATCATCAGCAATTGCTCCACCCTCACCCAACAACAGCGTTAGTGAACCTTTCATTCTGGGAGTTGTGGACTGGAAGAAACGGGTCAAGGCTGAGTACACTCGCTTATGTTATCAAAGGAAGGACAGGCGTGCTGATGAGGTCAAGGTCAGTGTCATTATTATTTTATTTGTTGTTAAACCCTAGTTTAAATTGATTATGTAAAAAAAATGATTTTGTTATGACTTATTATCACTTCTTCTAGGTACATAGTTTGCCGTATTTTTTATGCCTACAAATACATTTAATTATCATTACTTATTATTCATTGTGTTTTGTTAACCACTTTGAATTAGGCATCGTCCTTCCTGCAACTTTTGCTGCAGTTTCAACTAATTTTATTATCTGTTTGGCCTACCCATTTTTCTTAACCAATTTAGTGCTACATTTTTATTTTCTTTGTTTCTAAACTATTGTAATCTCTTTGAAGAATGCCTTTGCTGCAAACAGAATAGAAATAGAAAAAGAGCTGGCTGAAGAAGAAGAGTGGTTGTCTAAACAGTCTATACAAAAACTAATTGTGCCAGAAATATTACCAGGGAGATCAGCTAAAAAAGTATGTTTCTCGTGTTTTTTCTTTATGTTTAGTTTAAATTTTTTTAAATAGGAATTTCTTAGTTTTCATAACCTATAATTCCTTAGGTGTATGTAGTGTTACAGTTCTAGTAATTTTTCCTTTCAGTGTGAAGTAACTAGTGGTATGGGTTTCCCAACACAGTCTGGGCCATTAAAGACAATGATGCCTGTCAAATCTATACCTACAATGTATAGCTGGGCCCCAGTCCAGCAAAACTTTATGGTAGGTTTGTACTAGGTTTGTACTAGCAAACCAGCTAGTGTTAGATAATAATACACCCGTGTGTTACTGCTTGTTTTAATTGTACACATTCTTTTTTCTTGGCATATTTACAATCTGTAATATTTAAATCAAACTTTTGTTTATAATTTCTTATCATTTAGGACTACCTTATTGCATATAAAATATTTTGCACATCTAATTTTCCACCGTCTAACAGTATAGAATTGTTTCCTTGTTAGGTAGAAGATGAAACAGTTCTACACAACATTCCATACATGGGGGACTAATAGTATAGAATTGTTTCCTTGTTAGGTAGAAGATGAAACAGTTCTACACAACATTCCATACATGGGGGACTAACAGTATAGCATTGTTTCCTTGTTAGGTAGAAGATGAAACAGTTCTACACAACATTCCATATATGGGGGACTAACAGTATAGCATTGTTTCCTTGTTAGGTAGAAGATGAAACAGTTCTACACAACATTCCATACATGGGCGACGAGCTGCTGGATCAGGACACATCATTCATTGAAGAACTGCTGAAAAATTACGAGGGACGCGTGCACGGAGAGAGGAATTCTGGGATTGGGGATGATTTGTTTTTAGAGCTGGTCAACTCAGTGGCCCAGCAGTACAGGGCAGAAAATGGAGGTCAGTCATCAGTGTCCAAGCCATTAGTTCTATGCCATCGTTGCTTAACTTGTATCTCTGCTTGTTTTATTTGTTAGGTGTAGCCCATAAAAGTATTTGTTAGATCTAAATTTTATAGTGTATTATTTGATAGATCCAAACATTGAACTTAAAAACATTAATTGACTTTATTGGCAACCTACTGTTTTGTACACACATTTAAAGTATTATTTATTTTTGAAACAATTTTGTTAACACATTTTTTTTTAATCAACAGAAGAAAAAGTGAAACGAGAAGTAAAAGATGGAAAAGAAGAGTTTATGGATGTTGCTTCTATTCCTATTGAAGTGTTTGAGGCTATTTGTGCAGCATTTCCTGACCAGGGTGGAACTGTGGAAGAATTAAAGGAAAAGTAAGACAAATTTAAATTGCTATAATAGTTTCATCATATCACAAATAAAGTGTCAGGGTTATCATTCTATATGAGGGTGGTAGGTGAAAGGGGAGGTAACAAATTCTTTCAGAAACTTGTACACAATTGGAAGGTAAAAGAAATCTTTGACTACAGCATTCATGAAAATGAAACTTTTTTTATGGTTAAAATATTTTTATTCATATAGCTTCAAAAAAGAATCTTAGCAACATTTCTAGCTTGTTTTGTTTACTTACCTCTAACAAAGTGATGTAAACACAGAGAACTGTTTGTTTTACAGGTACAAAGAACTAGTCGAAGCCCAGAAAGTTTGTTTACAAGACGTCCCCCCTGAATGTACACCTAACATTGATGGGCCCAAGGCACAGTCTGTCCCTAGAGAGCAAACGATGCACTCATTCCATACGCTGTTTTGTCGACGTTGCTTCAAATATGACTGCTTTTTACACCGTAAGATTTCAATCTTCTCAATATTGCTGGCAAGTGTGTTAGTGAAGGGTTTGTTAAATTCATCTCCAGGTTTTAGACTGTAGCACTAAAGTAACAATGGTCTAATAGCTTTAACAGCTCTAGTCAGGAGTGAAAATTTTACATATTTATCATGTAAATTATTAAGTAATTGTACGCTTGTTGATTAAAACAAATCATTTTTTGGTTTTGTGTACTATGTTGTATTTTCCTGACATAATTCAATGTAGTGTAGTTCTGTAATTACTGAGCACTGTGTACCTTCTGTTATGATTGAGTATTGTGTACCTACGGTTATAACTGAGTATTGTGTACCTATTGTTATAATTGTCTATTGTGTACCTGTTGTAATGAGCACTGTGTACTTGCTGTTATAATTGTGTATTGTGTACATGATATAACTGAGCACTGTGTACCTACTGTTATAATTGTGTATTGTCTACCTGTTATAACTGAGCACTGTGTACCTGCTGTTATAATTGTGTACTGTGTACCTGTTATAACTGAACACTGTGTACACTCTTGTTACAGCCTATCACCCAACACCAAGTATGTTGTCTAGAAAGATGCCTGAGAAAAAAACAAAACTGGAGCATTGTGGTCCTGACTGCTACCTCTACCTGGTTGGTACTTTCATTGATTGATTAACCTCAAAACTTGTGCGCTTAACGTTTTATGAATTAAGTTTTTGTACACATTTGGAAAAGTGTGCTATTATTTTATTTTGAATGAAATTTTATGAATTTGAAAAGATAAACTCTAAAGACCCAAAAGCAGAGGAAAAAGAAACCAAAGAAAAGGAGAATCAGAAAGAGGCTGGGAGGGCCTCACCTAACAGGCCAGAGGTGAATGGCAGGAAACGCAAGGCCAACAATGGCAGCAGTGTTGCAAGCAGTGAGAACAGCGAGGAGAGCAATAATGCTGATGGTGAGACTTTAGTTCACTAAGACATTGGTAGATGGTGAGACTTTAGTGGGACATTGGTAGATGGTGAGACTTTAGTAGGACATTGGTAGATGGTGAGACTTTAGTGGGACATTGGTAGATGGTGAGACTTTAGTGGGACATTGGTAGATGGTGAGACTTTAGTGGGACATCGGTAGATGGTGAGACTTTAGTGGGACATTGGTAGATGGTGAGACTTTAGTGGGACATTGGTAGATGGTGAGACTTTAGTGGGACATTGGTAGATGGTGAGACTTTAGTAGGACATTGGTAGATGGTGAGACTTTAGTAGGACATTGGTAGATGGTGAGACTTTAGTGGGACATTGGTAGATGGTGAGGCTTTAGTTTAGTGGGACATCGGTAGATGGTGAGACTTTAGTGGGACATTGGTAGATGGTGAGACTTTAGTGGGACATTGGTAGATGGTGAGACTTTAGTGGGACATTGGTAGATGGTGAGACTTTAGTAGGACATTGGTAGATGGTGAGACTTTAGTGGGACATTGGTAGATGGTGAGACTTTAGTGGGACATTGGTAGATGGTGAGACTTTAGTGGGACATTGGTAGATGGTGAGACTTTAGTTCACTAGGACATTGGTAGATGGTGAGACTTTAACATTGGTAGATGGTGAGACTTTAGTGGGATATTGGTAGATGGTGAGACTTTAGTGGGACATTGGTAGATGGTGAGACTTTAGTTTAGTGGGACATTGGTAGATGGTGAGACTTTAGTTCACTAGGACATTGGTAGGTGGTGAGACTTTAGTTCACTAGGACATTGGTAGGTGGTGAGACTTTAGTGGGACATTGGTAGATGGTGAGACTTTAGTTCACTAGGACATTGGTAGATGGTGAGACTTTAGTGGGACATTGGTAGATGGTGAGACTTTAGTTCTCAAAGACATTGGTAGATGGTGAGACTTTAATACACTAGGACATTGGTAGATGGTGAGACTAAAAAGCTACACACTAGGACATTGGTTGATAGTAAAACTGACTTATTACTCTGTACACTAGAACAATATATTTTTATTTACTGTTTTGATGTAACAAAGATGATCTTGCTGCTAATTGCAGATGTTGATATAAAATTTCCACCTCGCCTGAGCCCAACAGCAGAAGAATGGTCTGGAGCTGAGGAGTCTTTGCTGCGTGTATTGGCGGATGTGTTCCGCAGTAACTACTGTTCCATAGCACGTCTGATTGGTTCAAAATCTTGTCAGCAGGTTGGTTTAACATGTATACAAATATTTTTCTGTTTGTTTTTCTGACCACATTGTGGGGTGTAAAATTGTATTATTAATTTTTAATCCAAGTTTAAAAAAACCCATTTCTCTGTTTTAGGTGTATAGATTTGCTGTGAAGGAAGAAGCTCACATCCCTGATTTGAATGAGGAGACAACACAGACTCCACCAAGGAAGAAGAAGAAGAAGCAAAGGTTAACCCAGTGTTAAATCACAATTTATTTGTTAACCTTAGTTGTAGATACTGTACCATCTGTGGGGTGGAAAGTTGCAGCCTAAAATTGTGTACATTTTGTAATGGATTATAAATAAGCACATTTTGTTAAAAATCTTAAATGAATTTTTTTTTTTATACTTTTGCACATTTCAAATTAAAACTGATCATAAGTGTTTTTATCTAAGATGTATAAGATGCAACACTCCAGCATTATTTTGTGGGTAGCAAATTATGGTCCAGCAAATTATAGTCCATGCCCTGTCACAGCAAATACCCACTAGTATCGTTTTGTTGCCAGCAGATTGTGGTCCATGCATTGTCGCAAGATTCAGCTCAAGAAGGACGGGTCAAGCAAGACTGTGTACAACTACCAGCCGTGTGACCACCCTGGTCAGCGATGCGATGAAACCTGTCCTTGCATCATGGCACAAAATTTCTGTGAGAAATTCTGTCAGTGTAGCTCTGATTGTAAGTTTTTCCCCTCATCTCTTGAATTACAATATTTTCTGGTTTCAGTTTAATGACGTTTCCACAAGCAGTAAAATATAATGACCAAATTTTTATTGTCCAAAAATATTTGCTACTTTCAGTTTAATGTTTCCACAAGCAGTAAATAATGACCAAATTTTTATTGTCCAACAGGTCAGAACAGATTTCCTGGCTGTCGCTGTAAAGCCCAGTGTAATACGAAGCTGTGTCCCTGTTTCCTGGCTGTCCGAGAGTGTGACCCTGACCTCTGTCAGACGTGTGGGGCAGGTAATGTCACAGCTGTGAGGGCATTGACCTGTTCACAGCTGTTAGGTTTTGTCCTGATTATTTCCAGCTGTAAAAACTTAAAATTCTCTGGTGGTGTAGCTTACCCGTAGCAAGGTGAAGGACTAATGAGATGGCTGTATCGCTGTATTCTATTATATTAAAATCTAGTATTGAATTAGGATCTTATGAACAACTTTATGCAAAATATTTTTATTTGCTGCTAGGATAAAAATTCCTTTACTAAGCGTTACCTACCATTACTAATGTGTTGTCATTATCATAATTGTGAATAGACATAAGCGTAACTAAAATGTAAAAACCCTTAAAAACTTAATTTAACGATGATTTTTCATGAACAGATCAGTTTGAAACACCCAAGATTTCCTGCAAGAATGTCAGTGTACAGAGGGGCATGAGAAAAGTGAGTGAGACTATTTTTAGTTTTATTAACAATTGTAAAAAATACCCAAACTTTGCCTATTGATTTTGTAATGAACCTGTCAAAAAAAAAGCATTTATAATGGACAGGTATCTGCTCGTTGTTTAAAAAAGGGGCGCAACTCTAGATATTAAAAGTAACAGGTTCAATAATTTTGTCTTCAGCATCTTCTACTGGCACCTTCTGATGTAGCTGGCTGGGGAATATTCCTCAAGGAACCAGCAGAGAAAAATGAATTTATCTCAGAGTACTGTGGAGAGGTAACACCAGTTTACAGCAGTTAAAAAATTGGATGCTAATGATTAAATATTTGCCAACATGAAGAGTTGCATCATCATTATCTGATGTTACTTGTAAACATGTATACAAATATTTTATTGGAAATTCTGATAGTAAATATTATTCTTAAAAGAATTGAGAAATTTTCTCTTTAGATTCCTTCAATAGTATGATTTGTTAAAACGTTTAAATCTGTGCAGACATGTAATTCTGAACATTAAAAAATGTGATTTTGTAAACAATCTGACAGATAATTTCTCAAGATGAAGCTGACAGACGTGGCAAAGTTTATGACAAGTACATGTGTAGTTTCCTGTTTAATCTAAACTACGGTAAGCATCACATTTTCTTTTGTTGAGGAGTTTTTATCATTTAATTTAAACTACGGTAGGCAGCACATTTTCTTTTGTTGAGGAGTTTTTATCATTTATTTTTCACTATGTTTTTTTTAAAATTTGAGTTAGAACTAGAACTTAATTTATGTTTGCTCTACCACCTTGTCCCTTTCACATTTCAATGTTTTTTTCTTTGTCCCTTTCAGATTACAATGTTTCAAATTGTTTTCTATGTTCCTTTAGATTACAATGTTTCAAATTGTTTTCTATGTTCCTTTAGATTTCAATGTACCCATTTTTTTCTTACTCTCTTTTAGATTACAATGTTCCAATTGTCGTCCCCCCCTGTCTTGCTACAACATGAGTTGTTGAGTGAACTTGAAAACATTTGTTACAATATGAGTTGTTGAGTGAACTTAAAACCATTTGTTACAACATGAGTTGTTGAGTGAACTTAAAACCATTTGTTACAACATGAGTTGTTGAGTGAACTTGAAAACATTTGTTACAACATGAGTTGTTGAGTGAACTTAAAACCATTTGTTACAACATGAGTTGTTGAGTGAACTTAAAACCATTTGTTACAACATGAGTTGTTGAGTGAACTTGAAAACATTTGTTACAACATGAGTTGTTGAGTGAACTTAAAACCATTTGTTACAACATGAGTTGTTGAGTGAACTTAAAACCATTTGTTACAACATGAGTTGTTGAGTGAACTTAAAACCATTTGTTACAACATGAGTTGTTGAGTGAACTTAAAACCATTTGTTACAACATGAGTTGTTGAGTGAACTTAAAACCATTTGTAACAATATGAGTTGTTGAGTGAACTTAAAACCATTTGTTACAATATGAGTTGTTGAGTGAACTTAAAACCATTTGTTACAACATGAGTTGTTGAGTGAACTTGAAAACATTTGTTACAACATGAGTTGTTGAGTGAACTTAAAACCATTTGTTACAACATGAGTTGTTGAGTGAACTTGAAAACATTTGTTACAACATGAGTTGTTGAGTGAACTTAAAACCATTTGTTACAACATGAGTTGTTGAGTGAACTTGAAACCATTTGTTACAACATGAGTTGTTGAGTGAACTTAAAACCATTTGTTACAACATGAGTTGTTGAGTGAACTTAAAACCATTTGTTACAACATGAGTTGTTGAGTGAACTTGAAAACATTTGTTACAACATGAGTTGTTGAGTGAACTTGAAACCATTTGTTACAACATGAGTTGTTGAGTGAACTTAAAACCATTTGTTACAACATGAGTTGTTGAGTGAACTTAAAACCATTTGTTACAACATGAGTTGTTGAGTGAACTTAAAAACATTTGTTACAATATGAGTTGTTGAGTGAACTTAAAACCATTTGTTACAACATGAGTTGTTGAGTGAACTTAAAACCATTTGTTACAACATGAGTTGTTGAGTGAACTTAAAACCATTTGTTACAACATGAGTTGTTGAGTGAACTTAAAAACATTTGTTACAACATGAGTTGTTGAGTGAACTTAAAACCATTTGTTACAACATGAGTTGTTGAGTGAACTTAAAAACATTTGTTACAACATGAGTTGTTGAGTGAACTTAAAACCATTTGTTACAACATGAGTTGTTGAGTGAACTTAAAACCATTTGTTACAACATGAGTTGTTGAGTGAACTTAAAACCATTTGTTACAACATGAGTTGTTGAGTGAACTTAAAACCATTTGTTACAACATGAGTTGTTGAGTGAACTTAAAAACATTTGTTACAACATGAGTTGTTGAGTGAACTTAAAACCATTTGTTACAACATGAGTTGTTGAGTGAACTTAAAAACATTTGTTACAACATGAGTTGTTGAGTGAACTTAAAACCATTTGTTACAATATGAGTTGTTGAGTGAACTTGAAAACATTTGTTATCCCCAGATTTTGTGGTGGATGCCACAAGAAAAGGCAACAAGATACGTTTTGCCAACCACTCCATCAACCCTAACTGTTACGCCAAGGTCATGATGGTCAACGGGGATCACCGTATAGGGATATTTGCCAAGCGACCAATCCAAGCAGGGGAAGAGCTGTTCTTTGATTACAGGCAAGTATAATTATACTTTGATAAACATTCACTTTCTTTCTTTCACAATTTTGCAAGCTTATTCATTTAAGGAAAAAAATGAGTATTTTAGAAAACAAAACCAATTTTTAAGAATATGTTGCACGTCACAACTCAGAGCAATCAACCGCTACACAATTTAATTTGAGGATATTTTAAATTATAACATCTATTAGTTCAGTTAGGTTCAGGGTTAAGTATCAACATCTGTACCTAGATAATCTAAAGAACTATATAAAATTGTCTCCTGTGCCTTTTAGCACTTCAATTTAGCTAATTTCTTTTTTGTTACTAAACACTATTTAAGCAATAAAATATGCTTGTTATAAACATACCATAATTTTATTCTCTAGGTATGGCCCAACAGAGCAGCTAAGATTTGTGGGGATTGAGAGAGATGGCATGATATGAAATGTATTTTTAAAACTTTGATATCACCTTGTCTGGTGTTATGTTGTAGAGAATTTAATGTTAACAAAACTTTGAGTTGTTGTAATTTTTGTATGTGAAAGAAAAAAAGTATCATTTTACCATACATTTTTTAAAGTAGTTTATCATGTTAAAATTTGATAAATACATTTATGAAACAGTTCCTAAAATTATAGACATAATTTATATGGCTTTATTTTAGATCACTTTGTTTATTATGTCTTTTATGAAATGTTTAGTGTATATAATTTGTAATGATACAACTCATTAAAATCAAGTTACATTTACAATTATTGTTATTTCTTGTTTTAAGTTTTAAGGTGCTTTGAATTTTTTTTTGATAATATTGTGTTGCTACTAAAAAACTTCTCTGTTTAGAATATGGTGTTGGTACTGCACCTCTTTTGAGATTTTCCAGGCTAAGTTCTAGCTTGATATAGGTCTAGTCAGCCTGTCTTAATTTATTACATGTGACTAAATTAAACAAAGACAAATATTTATAAATATTAATCATTTTATTTATAAAGTTTGAAATTGAAAAAAAAAATGAAAATGTAAAAATGAGTTTGTACTTGACTTGGCAGGCAGTAAAGTTGTATTTAACAACAGGAACAATAGGAAATCCAACTTCAAAAGTGGCAAGTCAGTGTACTGCTATACAATATGTACATGGTAAAAAGTAAAAAATTCTTGAGATAAATTAATCAAAGTTTTATACACATTTTTAAGGCATGAAAATTGTTTACTCTGAATTCATCCTTTATAAAAATGTGACAGAATGTTCATTGAAGTAAAAATGGAGAGGAGACAAATTTTATTTACTAGCATGTAAAGGCTCAGCTACATCCTAGAATCACAACACCAATGTTAATACTAGTTCTAGGTAAACAGTTAGGTTATATCCTTAAAATTATATTTAGAAACTTTAAGCTGTAGTTGCATGAAATCTCAAGTTCCGGTATTTTAAATAAAAATATGTACCGGTATTTTAAATAAATATAAACTTTATTATATTTATTTGTTTAATGGTTCATCAGCTGTTGTACAACCCAGCCTAGGTTTAGAATAAAACAGTCAATTTTTTGTGAGCTTTTCCCGCTAAGTTTTACAATTTTTTTTGGTAACTCTGATCGACCAGCTTGGCCTGCTGGGGTGTGAGCACTTCACTGGAGTGTTCATTCCTCCAGTCTGACATGTTGCCTTCCCCAAGCTCATCATACAACAAATCTCTTTTGTTCCTTGCTTTCTCTATTTCATTGTTCATCCTGGAGGATTAAAAAAGATGGGATGGATGGTAAATACAGCTTTAAATGTTAAAGAAGAAAAAAACAGTTTGGATCCATTTCAGGGTAGTAACATATGTCATGATGTGTAAACACCATTTAACATATGTCATGATGTGTAAACACCATTTAACATATGTCATGGTGTAGTAAACACCATTTAACATGTCATGGTGTAGTAAACACCATTTTACTAATAGTATCAGTATTCCAACCCTAACACAAACACTACCCCAGAACCTAGTCATGACAACAACTCTAACTCTAAAAAAAACCAAAATATGATGTTAAATTGTATAGTATTTTACTTTATAAAAAGAATGCATGGCCAAGTTGACAATAAAAACATGCAGCGCAACTTGTGTAAATAAAATTAAAAACAAAGCAAAATCTCATCGCTAATAAAACTAAGATTACCTTCTGCTGACTGCCAGTGCTCTAGCAATAAACTTGTCTCTCTTCTCTTTATCCAGGTTATCATCTTCTCTAGAAGATTTCTAGACATTAAATGAGAAGCTTTTTTAACACTGCATTTATAATGATAGATATTAAATGAGAAGCTGTTTCAAACAAGTAATGAAAAACTTTTTTAACACTTCATTTATAATGATAGATATTAAATGAGAAGCTGTTTCAAACAAGTAATGAAAAACTTTTTCAACACTGCATTTATAATGATAGATATTAAATGAGAAGCTGTTTCAAACAAGTAATGAAAAACTTTTTCAACACTGCATTTATAATGATAGATATTAAATGAGAAGCTGTTTCAAACAAGTAATGAAAAACTTTTTTAACACTGCATTTATAATGATAGATATTAAATGAGAAGCTGTTTCAAACAAGTAATGAAAAACTTTTTCAACACTGCATTTATAATGATAGATATTAAATGAGAAGCTGTTTCAAACAAGTAATGAAAAACTTTTTCAACACTGCATTTATAATGATAGATATTAAATGAGAAGCTGTTTCAAACAAGTAATGAAAAACTTTTTCAACACTGCATTTATAATGATAGATATTAAATGAGAAGCTGTTTCAAACAAGTAATGAAAAACTTTTTCAACACTGCATTTATAATGATAGATATTAAATGAGAAGCTGTTTCAAACAAGTAATGAAAAACTTTTTCAACACTGCATTTATAATGATAGATATTAAATGAGAAGCTGTTTCAAACAAGTAATGAAAAACTTTTTCAACACTGCATTTATAATGATAGATATTAAATGAGAAGCTGTTTCAAACAAGTAATGAAAAACTTTTTCAACACTGCATTTATAATGATAGATATTAAATGAGAAGCTGTTTCAAACAAGTAATGAAAAACTTTTTCAACACTGCATTTATAATGATAGATATTAAATGAGAAGCTGTTTCAAACAAGTAATGAAAAACTTTTTCAACACTGCATTTATAATGATAGATATTAAATGAGAAGCTGTTTCAAACAAGTAATGAAAAACTTTTTCAACACTGCATTTATAATGATAGATATTTGTAACGTTAACCTATCTATCAGCTAAATAGAAGGAGAACGTCCCCGGATTCTTTTTTCGGGGTCATATGCAAATGCCTTACGGCCTAAGTGGATGAACACTTAACACAACGACCCACTAGGGCTCGAATTTAATGTCTAGGGGAGCTAGTGATACTGTTGTAATTAACACTCATCCAATCTACATACGACCTTTTAATCAGCGAACTCAGTTGTGGCAGAACACAAAGATGAACTAGATAAAATATTTAATGTATAAAATATCAAAACACAACTTACAAAATGTAGGAAAAATCACTATCACAGATTTCTACACTGTCAAAAGAACAGCCACAGGCCACACAACACTGCTGTAGCTTCAGGAATTACTTAGCGACAAGTAATATTAAACTAGAAGACTAAATCAACTTAAGAAAGCAAGGCACACACAGGTCTTAAGTACTCTCACGTTCAAATGGTCAGAGTCTATAGCCGGACAATATGGACGGCTGCCTGAACGAGGTAAAACGGCCCCGTAGACTACCAGGTCAAGAAAAACTGCCTCGTGTTGCGAGTGTGCAGTGCAATTAAAGACTTCTGTGACAGGGGAGGTTATCCTCAACTCATGTCGCCATTGGTTGGGATAATCATCTGATCAGAATCATTCAATCAGATTTTAATGGAAAATTTCTATGTCTCAAACACCTTAATAAGTCAGTGGAAAAACCCCAGGTGTTACACCATCATTCCATATAAGGAATTATACAATGTCAAAATAAAAATGACTCGACCTAAGTAGGTCACATCCCCTCCCTTTTTGGAAGTGACAGATAGGTTCCACAAAAACATACATAAGGAACCAATCTGGCAATGAAATAAAAATGTTTTACAAATGTAGGCAATCAAAATCATAATACCAGATGAAAATATCCCTGAACATAAAAGGGAAGTAACTCCAACTTTTACAATTGGTGAAAGGGGAGTAACCCTTCAAAAGGTAATTATACATCAAAATCCCTCAAAAAGGGGAATTACAATTTTTCCATGAGAATATTAAAAGTGGTAAACCCGCCAGGGTAAGACCTTTATTTCTATGACTAGCTACAATATCAATTGAGTCATATGAGACATATTATTATAAAAGATTACATATAATCAAAAACTACCTTTAATTAAGGTTCACCTGAAAATAAACAAAATATTCAACAAGATTGGAATTTTGAAAAAAATTCAAAACTCACACCACCCACTTCCATATGAGTGACACTCAAACAAAACCTGTCTATGGTCCTAATGAACCACAAAGCATGTCACATGATCAATGTGTGTAACAAGATTTTACATCCTTGACAAACAATCAGCCACTACATTATCACTACCCTTAATGTGTGAAATTTCCAGATTAAAATTTTGGAAATATAAGCACCATCTCAATATTCTTTGATTTGTCTGTCCTAACTTAGAGGTAAATTTCAGGGGATCATGGTCAGAAAACACTCTGACTGGATTGGTTGAAGAAGAGACATAGACTTCAAAATGTTGTAATGACAAAACCAAAGCTAAAGCCTCTTTTTCAATAGTAGAGTAATTCTTTTGGTTCTCATTTAACTTCCGGGAAAAAAAGGCAATGGGATGGTCAATTCCCATGTTGTCTTCTTGAAATAGGACTGAGCCAATGGCTAAGTTGCTAGCATCAATGGCAAGTTTAAAGGGCTTGCTGAAATTTGGTGCAGCCATAACAGGAGCATTAGATAGAAATGACTTAATGGTTAAAAAAGCTTCTTGACATTTATCTGACCATTCAAACTCAACACCCTTTTTCAATAATGCAGTAAGAGGTTCAGCAATAGCTGAAAAGTTTTGACAGAACCGTCTATAGTAACCAGCCATCCCAAGGAACTTTTTGATTTCTTTACAATTTTTGGGAGGTGGCAACTTTACAATAGCATCTACTTTAGCTTCAATGGGCCGAACTTGGTTCGTTCCCACTTGATAACCCAAATAGGTAATTGAAGCTTTACAGAAATCACTTTTATGTAAGTTTACAGTAAAATTAACTTCAGACAATTTTCTAAAAAGGTTAGTCAATTGAACAATATGTTCTTCAAAAGTATTAGAAAATACAACTATATCATCTATGTAGGCCTCACATTGGTCTATGTCAGCAATGACAGAGTTAATGACCCTCTGGAAAGTTTGACCAGCATTTCGCATACCAAAAGGCATACGTTTGTATCTATAAAAACCATTAGGGGTTACAAAAGCAGATATTTCTTTTGCACGGTCAGATAAGGGGATTTGCCAGTATCCTGAAAGTAAATCAATTTTGGAAATTATCTTAGCCTGACCAACTTTATCAATAACGTCCTCTATCCGAGGTAAGGGATAGGAATCAGCTTTGGTGAGCGCATTCACCTTCCTAAAGTCGGTCACAAACCTGAAAGATCCACCGTCTTTCGGGACTAGGAGACATGGGGAACTCCAGTTGCTGAAACTGGGCTCAATGATATCATTCTTGAGCATATAATCAATTTCATCTTTTATCAAAGCAGCTTTTTCCGGGTTAACTCTATAGGGGTGTTGTTTAATGGGTTTTGCGTCACCTACGTCTATCTCATGAGGTGGAACCTTCGCTTCTTTGGGGACATCCCCAAAGATAGAGGGAAATGTCTCAAATAACTGAGACAATCTATGGCTTTCCTCTGTGGACAAATGCATAAGGTGGACATTCAAATTATCTAAAAAGGAAGAATTTACCAATTTCGGGGGTTTCAATTTATCATGTATCACATCATCAGAAACATTTAAACATGCAGGTAAAGTAATTTTAGCTGTGGATTGAAAATTGTTACAATTATCATAATACTTTTTCAGTGAGTTGACATGATACACTGTCTGTTTCTTTCTTCTGTCGGGCGTATTGACAACATAGTTCAAATCACTTAATTTTGAATGCACAGTAAAGGGTCCACAATATCTCAAGGATAACGCATTGTTCAGATTAGGAACTAGCACAAGAACTTTGTCGCCGGGATTGAATGTTCGTTTGCAAGAACTCTTATCATACAGTTCTTTCATTCTCACTTGGGCCTTTCTTAAGTTCTTGTGAGCCATTTCGCACACGGCTTTCAGTCGAACGTGAAAATCGTCGAAGCTTTCCACAGGATGATCGCTGGTACCTGTCCACCGTTCGTGTATCAGCTTCAGGGGACCACGGACAGAATGTCCAAACACAAGTTGAAAAGGCGAGTAGCCTAAAGAGTCCTGGACACAGTCCCTCGCGGCGAAAATAATCCAAGGAACAGACTCATCCCATTGGGTGTTACTAGTAGCGAATGTTCTTAGCATGGTTTTGAGGGTTTGGTGGAACCTCTCAAGTACGCCTTGAGACTGAGGGTGGTAGGCTGAGCTGGTGATGTGGGTAACGCCTAGCTTGGCTAGCGCTTCCTGAAAATGGTGACTGGTGAAGTTGCTGCCTTGATCTGTTTGCACGATTCTAGGTAATCCAAAGGTAGTGAAGAACCGGGTCATGGCTCTGACTACAGTCTTTGCCTTAATGTTCCGTAAGGGAATCGCCTCGGGAAAACGGGTACTTGAACACATAAAGGTAAGTAGGTACTCGTTGCCCGCCTTGGTTTTAGGCAAGGGACCTACACAGTCCATGACGATTTTTGAAAAGGGTTCTTCTAATACAGGAATCGGACTCAAAGGGGCCTTAGGAATTTTCTGGTTTGGCTTTCCGGCCAACTGACAGTTCGTGCAACTTCTGCAGTAACGCGACACATCTTTTCTCATTTTGGGCCAAAAGAACAGTTCTTTGATCTTCGCCGTCGTTTTAGTGACTCCTGGGTGCGCTGACATTGGATGGTCATGTGCCAGCTTAAGTATTTCATGCCGATAAGGTGGAGGGACCCACAGCTGGTTTTTACCCAACCATGGTTCGGCTGGTGAGGCATTCACTGGTATAGCGCGACGAAAGAAGAGGCCGTTCTCGGAGAAATATTCTCCATCGTCAGA